TGACCTCCCTATTCTAACGTATCTGAAAGGAAGTGTCCCGGCTAACTGGACCGAGTCGATTACAGTAGCAATATAAAGAAGGGCAGTCGCACAGACTGTTCTAACCACAGGGGTATTAGCCTAACGCCAGTTGTGACAAATTTATTGACTTCGACTATCGTACGTCGCCTCACTGCGGAACGGGAATCTCGGATTAGGGAAGAGCAGGCCGGTTTCCGCCCAGGACGTGGCTGTATAGACCATATATTCACTTTGCGACAGATGCTAGAGCAGCGCAACTCACCGCAGATGGACAATAGCTGTGTTCCTCGATTTCAAGAGTGCGTTCGATTCAATCGATCGATCGATTTTGTCGAAATACTTGCCCGGAAACGTGTTCCCGCTTAATATGTGCACATTCTTCGTGCTCTATACTCGAACACTACAGGCCGCGTTAGGGTCTATGGTGTTCTATCGCATAGCTTTCCGACCACAAGTGGCGTTCGTCAGGGTTGTCTGATTTCCCCATTTTTGTTGAATTTCGTCGTGGATTCTATCATGGAGTGTTCCCTTGCGGAATCATACGATGTAGGTGTTGAAGTACTGCCTGGTGAAAGGTTAGTTCACCTAGATTATGCAGATGTTATCGTCTTGTTTTTCGACGATGTTGCCACTTTACTATGAACCCTGAATAGCTTGTCCAGAGTTGTCTCGTTATTTGGTATGCACTTCGCACCTTCAAAGTGCAAAGTGTTGCTGCAGGACCACCAGCCACTTTACGACCCGTTGTCGCTTGCTAACGAGGAACTCGAGGTGGTTGATCAATTCACTTATCTCGGCAGCTGCATCAGCAGCGATGGGCGCATAGAAACTGACGTCAGCTCTCGCATTGCAAAGGCCAGAGCTGCCTTCTTGAACCTGCGGCATCTTGGGCGACAGAAGGGAGTTTCCCTCCGTATGATAGGCCGTGTATACAGGGCCACAGTGAGGGCCGTTCTGCACTATGGTAGTGAGACTAGACCCCTTCGGTCTGAAGATCTGAGGCGCCTTCAAGTTTTTGATCATCGTTGTTTGCGAAGCATTGCTGGTGTCGGATGACACCAGCGTGTCCGAAACGATGATGTGCGTAGGCGAGTACTAGGTGGTGATGATCATGCTAGTTTCCTTGAACAACAGATAGCACTGAATAAGTTGCGTTGGCTTGGGCACGTGCTACGTATGCCTGGTCACCGCTTACCTAGGAGGGCCTTGTTTAGTCTACGAGGTGTAGGATGGCGCAAGGTTCGAGGTGTACAATAGTTGACTTGACAGCGGGAAATGAAGTCACTGGCAACCAAACTGGGTGCCGTTGGTCCGTCTCGCCTTCCGGGCTGGAGTCCAGGTGACTCGCCTTTTGCTTGGCTCGAGACTTTACAGGACATGGCTTGCAGTAGACAGCAGTGGCGCGTCTGCTGCCGTTTCCTAGTCGGATTGCCTGTTTAAAGTGTGTTTGGTGCTGAGTTATCTGCGGGGTAATGGCTGATTATGACGCGTGGCAGTGAAAGCGGAAAGGAAGCTGTCTCACCGATGCCGCCTTATCTTTGCACGATGGCCAGCTGTTTGTGACGGTATGTTGTCTACACAAATTGTAGGCGCCTTGACCCTGAATGTTTACTTAGGGCATTAAAGTTTTCAGGTAAGTCTCCTTCTCTGCTTCTTAGTATTCTTTATTCCATAAGTCATCATGGTTGTATGGCAGCGAAGCATCAGTTCAAATGGCTGATGTACTGCTGTTGATCATGATTATTACTTCTGTGTTTCCTCTCATTGTCGTGATTGAAATACTCGGGGACTATCTATCCTGACCAACACATGCGGAAAAGTTCTGGTCCAAAGCACAGAGCGATGTTCGCCGAAATCCTTCTGTTCCATCGTTTCAAGTGTGTTCAATTTAAATCTGGAAGAACTTACCTATCAGGCTACAATTTATCCTTCAAGTACCTCATGCGAAGCACCATGAAGGAAACTGTCTCCGAAGCAAGTATACATTTTGGTTGTCAGGGACGTTGCCAGGAGAATACTTAGCATTCAATCAGGAACGTCCTAATCATGTGACCAAACAAACACGGATATTCACCACGTGAATGGCACTTTGGCGGAGCTGTAGCCTCTATTTTTCAACGCTTTGTTCTCTTAGTTAAGTTATCATTCTGGCACTTTTCGTCGGCGCATACTCTCATCCTTCAATGCGAATGTGCCCAGAGATAAGTGGAAGGGCTAAGTGTAACAGATATCTCCTCAAATGCGGTTCAAACGCTTCACCATGGCCCGATACAAGTGCAGTAAGCTGGCTTCTTCCATGACACCGGCCAGTCTCTTGGAAAATGGATGTTGACGGTAGATGTAGTGTCCCATTAGTGCCGCTTAAATAGAGACTAGTTACAAAATCAGAAGGCTACGCACTAATATAATTAATACTAATGTACAGACAATAATGATACATAAGAGACTTATCGCGTGTGCTTGTTGATGGCTGTGAGTCCAATTCAGCTTGCATTTCCATTTCGGCCTACGTTCTCGTATTATCGCTGCAACTTATAACATATTGAATGACAATTTCGCGAATTTCTTATGCATTGTGTCGGCACCCCATTCCTACTGTTCTGTACCACCTGATAGGAACCCAAACATTGATTGCTTCTCATTTCTGGTCTCACTGGCTTACTAAGAGCGAACAGACTGCTGTGTGCTTCTCAGTTCTAGACAAACCGACGATCCCTCGTGGCTAACCGCCTTAAAGTGATTATTCGCTGGGCTACTTTAATTACCATCATCATTCTTTAGTTTCCTTCCTTTTGTTTACTGTTCGAATGCTTGCCTATTGTTTCGCATGTTTACCTAGACGGTAAGCTCCACCTGGTGGTCGCATTTGGTATTGTTCGCTATTGATTGCAGCTGTCCACCTCTCTCTTCCTGCACGATCAGCCTTTTGTTTATTCCTCATGCGGTAGAACATATTAGACAACCACTCATTAATTACCAAGTCATAGTTTGAAATGACTTCGGCCTTTTAGAATCCGCTTCTGTCTTGTCTGATCCACACATGTTGACAGACCGTCTCCTACGTCCGCCTCTTGTCCGATAACCATTTCGCTACGCATGTTGAATCGCATTCGTTGTCAAAACTCCGCTGCAGACACATCTCGTCACTTTCGGATATGTGTCGCTGTACCACAGAAAAGAAATAATACATCAACACAGACGGAGGCATCATAGATGTGCCTCTCATAACTTAGTTTAAAAACCTAATATTCAGTGAAAGCTCAAATGAACTGGCCCAGGGAGGCTGTTTATAGGAACGGCAACCATCCCAAGCTTACTCCATACTTCACTGCTAAAGTTAAGCTTCCGGGTAACAATGCTGCAACCTCATGACGGTCTCTCAAAAGGCGAAAATACCACCTTTTTGAGTTCATGGCCTCTATGTGCTCGGTGTCTGCTAGCCAATGTACTATTGAACGACATAAGTACATTATGGTGTTCACAAGGCCGCACGGGCAGTTGCTTCCAACATGATGGAGCCAGCTACTTGGTTTGGCGCTAATGTCATCAATATCGACACGTAACCCTGGCTGATTATCGAGATGATTACACCGAATAGATTGGCCTTCTGTCCTTATTCTAATTGCAGGATACCAATTACGAAAGTGAGATTGAACCTCGGGGATTCTTCCATAACGCGCCACTGGATCATTCAGCTATCACTTGACTACAACGCCAAAAGCGAGGTGTCACTTTTGTCGCAGCACCCACACGGCATACCTTATTTACGTCGAATGTGCGATTGAAATAGTCACTCGCCGATCGTGCACCTCATTAACCGTAGGTTTTTGGGATACGTGAACGTCATCCAAGTGAAACGAGAGGGCCGCAGTAATAATACTGCAGTTCTACTTCCGTTAATAGCTTCTCTTGCTATCGTGCGCAGCCGCCGCCGCTTGCAATGGTCTTTCTAGTCGTTCCCGCGAATTTTTTTCCGTTACTTACAATAGTTGATCAATTCACTCACCTTACCAGCTGTATCAATAACGATGGGTGTATAGCTGCTGAGTACAATTCACGTATTGCATAAGCCAGAACTGCCTTTTTGAATCTGCGACTTCTTTGGCGACAGTAAGGGATTTTCCCTCCGTCTGAAAGGCTGTGTATACAAACCTACAATGAGGGCCGTCCAACTCCATCAAAGTGAGATTTGGTCCCCTCCGTCTGAAGATCTTGGATCATCGCTACCTGCGGAGCATTGCTGTTGTCGGGTGGCACCAGCGTGTCCGCAACGAGGATGTGCATAAGCAAGTGCTTGGCAGTGATACTCGAGCTAGTTCCTTAGAACAACAGATAGCAGTGAGTAATTTGTGTTGGCTTGAGCACGTACTATGTATGCCCGGTCACCGCTTACCGAGAAGGGCCAGACGTATAGTGTCGCAAGGCTGGAGGTGGACAATGGTTGACTTGGCAGCGCGAAATGAAGTCACTGACGACCAAACTACGTGAAGTCGGTCCGTCTCGCCCTCCAGACTGGAGTCCGCGTGACTCACCTTGTGTTTGGCTCGAGACTTTACAGGACGGCTCGCAGTCGGCGCCAGTGGCGGGTCTGTTGCCGTCTCATTGTTGGACTGTCTGTTTAACGTGTGTTTGGTGTTGAGTTATCTGTGGAGTAATGGCTGATTATGACGCGTGGCAATGACAGTCGCAAGGAAGTTGTCTCGCTTATGCTGCCTTATCTTTGCACGACAGCCAGGTGTCTGTGATGGTATGTTGTTGACAAGGTGTAGATGCCTTGACCCTGAATGTTTGCTTAGGGCATTAAGGTTTTCCGGTAAGTCCCACTTTTCTCCCTCCTATTCTTCTTCGTTCTGTAGGTGTAATGGTTGTACGGCAGCGAAGCATCCGTTCAAATAGCTGATGTACTGTTGTTGATGATGACTTACAAGTGGTCTGTTTTTAACAAGCAATGCGTTTCATTCCACTCCCAATTCTTTCAGCGCAATTGCGATGAACCGAAGACACCCATAGATCGCATTCGGCTTGGTTTATTCGAACACCATGAGAACATTCTGACTATCACGGGCATCCTGTTCACCGGCCTTGCTTCTCGCTTGTACATGTTGCCCACAGACCAGCTCGCGTTGGTGTTGCACCAGGGCTGCTGCGAAGCATTCGAACACCTACCGGAAGTGAAACTTATCAGCATCATACGTATCCTTTTTCCTGGCTTGGGAGTCCAGTTTTCCACTGTCACACCTTTTTTTCATTCTGTACATTATTTGAATTTTTGTTGCAATTGCCCCGGGTTCTATCTTTGTCATTGCACGTAACTTAAGGATCACAAGTTTGCCTTGTTCGTAGTGGACCGAGCGATCTTCGCAGTATCCTTAGCCCACGTGCGACTGGTGGTGGATGTGCGGCAGCGAAGCTTCAGTACTACGTACCGGCATACTGCTGATACCTCGCTTTCTCACTAAAAGCACCTATCACGATTGCAGTCGAAGGCGATAATGACTACTCGCCTCAGTGTTAATCGCTTTGACATAAACACCTCTTAATGGCGCCTTACTTTTGTGTATGTTTACACCATCTCTCTCAAAGTTGCCTAACTAGTATTTCCTTAGCTACTTTATAACCCAGGTCACGTAATTCGGCCATTTGTTCGAAGCTGTCCCAAGCTTTATCTGTCCACTGCTCTGGTCCCGCTCATTCCCCCTATCGTTGAATCTGTTGTACAGGTGAGTTCAACAGTTTTTCTCCTTCGTAGTTGTGGTACGCTTGGACGACCCACTTTAGTCTCTGAATCCCTTTTTAACTCATCTCCATTGGATGTACTTCTTCTTTGCAGCGGCTCGATGCAAGCTGGCACCGGTTTGCCATAACGAGGTTAGTACTGTGTTTGCCGCATGTCCTCTTCCTATGCACACATATTTGGGGATCTCGCTGTTCGTGCCATTCATGGCTTGCTCCTGCTAGTGTCTTGTGTGAGGCTTTGGCTCACCACAGAAGCTAATCTGTTGATAATCAAAGAGCTCACTCTTTAGGTTGTCTTACAGTGTACATCCTACTGAATGATTTGTATGCTTTCGTGAGTTTCACATAGAACACTAAAGCACGGGTGTGGAACAGTCGGTGCCTGTTGTTACGAGTAGCGTCGCGAGGGCTGAATTGCTTTAGTGTTTTGTGGTATCTGATACAATCTTGTTCATCAGCATTCTCTAGACCCACTATGCCCACCCGATCTATTGCACCTAGGACACTAAGCAAGTGTGATCTGGCACATGGTACGTCACTCACCAAATCTATGCTTTTCTTGATCCTCGTTTCGTCAATGTGTACACAATTCACTGTTTCCTCTACTCCTTAAGCCAAACTACCCTCGCAGACGATAAGGCTGTCACGGAAGAATTGCTCGAAGAGCGCGTCACCCGTCTGCTAAGTCGCGCATTGATGGATTTGCTAAGTAAGTTTCGGTGTCTTGCTTACATCTACCGATATTTGCCCGCCTGTGTCGTATGTACACATTTTCCTCCCATCTACCCACAGCGTGTCTGTTGCTTCACCTTGATCGCTGGCGTAGCGCCCTCATAAAAGGGCAAGTAGTTGGGTTGAATGAAAAACTTTGAGCCTCAAAATAAAACCAAACGAGATCCGGAATTCTCGATACCTTTATTATTATTAAACATATTTAACTTCAACCGCAGCACACTTACTCCAGCGGTGCTGAAGCGTTTTTATCCTTGTGGAAAAGAACTATTCAGATTCCAACTCTAAAAAATTTTCTAAGGCTTCAATGACGTCGTTGTTGTTGAGAAACTGTTTTCTATCTAACACTTTTTTCGAGTTTGAAAATATGTGGAAGTCAGAGGTAGCCAGATGTGGTGAATAGGATAGGTGAACAAAAAGTTGGAAGCCGCAGTCTTGTAGTGTTTTATGAGCAGTGGAAGTGGTGTGGGCTGGATCATTGTCGATATGGAAAATGACTCCTCTCCTCACCATTCCTGGCCTCTCCTTACTCGACTTATTTTTCTGCGAAGTTTCAGAAGCTCACAGTAATACTTTTCGGTGATGATATGGCCTTCAACGAAATCAATCATCAACACACCTCGGGAGTCTAAAAGCGGATACCATCACTTTACTAGCTTATGGTGTAACCTTGGTCATCTTAGGCGTAGGAGATGATGTACACTTCCATTGTTTTGATTGCTCTTTTCCTTCTGTTTGAAGGCGGTAAACCCAGCACTCATAAATAGTGATGAGTCGTGAAAGAAAATCATCGGCATCTGCTGCAAACGGTGCCAAATCGTTCCTTGACATCACATGTCGAATGCGCTTCTGCTCAGGAGTCAGAAGACGTGGCACCCATCGAGCAGAAGCTTTTGAGTAGCCTAACTCTTTCGTCAGAATATTATCTGCCCGCTACCTGACGAGTTGTCAATCGGCCATCTTTGATGGTGGTGGTTGGTGTTCTCCCTGACCTGGGCTCATCTTCAATACTCTCCCTGTCGCCCTTAAACTCGTGCACCCAACATTTAACTGTGGCATATGCAGTGGCATTGTCATGCAATGTATTGAGCATATCTTGGTGGATTTCAGATGGTGACATCCCTTTCAGATAGAAGTATTTGACCAGTGCATGATGCTCCAATATCTCCACTTGCACCTAATTGTAGACCCTGTTCAATTAAAGAATCTGCTGGAATGAAAGTAAAAGAAGTAGAAAGATGAATTTGTATAATAAGAAAGCTGACGGATTATAAGACACGTTATTTGGTTAGCCTAACTATTTGGTTTTCGATGACAGACTCAAAACTTTTCATTCAACCTACGTAGTTTCCTAACCAATACATGTCTGCGTAGACAAAATTCTCTGCCACATATGGTAGAATGGTGTCAAATATACTGCAATTTGGCTGTAGCCATTGAATGGCACATTTTAACGCACTCATTTCTTTATTGAATTACGTCGCAGTCAGGACTACGGTTCGCGTTGAATTGAACTTTGGTCCCAGTGACCGAATTGGCCAATGTTCACTTCAATGGAAATTGCATTCCGCATTGTGATTGCACGTTGCAATCTACACACACACACACACACACAACGTGTACTTCAAAATAACCCTCCAGTTGTGCCAAGCGTTGCCCGTCATGACCCGGTGGCAGACGGAGTAGAGGTCTCGACTAACATTCCAGCAGTCCCGGGTTCGACGCCTGCTACTCCTATCTGATGAGATAAGACGAGATTGAAACGCATAATGGAGTTCGGTGTGTTCGGGCGGACAACACCCAGTTTTCATCTGCTTAGCTATGGCCCTAGTCATCGTATGACCCCAAGGTTCGCCTCATTGGGAATCCCGATCCACATTGAGATTTTGCGTCGCAATCCATCCACACAGCGTGCACTTCAAATTGACCCCCCCCCAATCAATTATTAACAATTGTGACGCTTTTCGTGACTCGGTACCTAAAGATGTAGAGCTTTCTACTAACATCCTAATGGTCCTTGCTTCGAGTGCATGTAATCTCCACCTGATGGGATCGAAACGCGTCGTGGAATGCAGTGGTTTCTGGTGGGCGACATCCATGATCGGATTCGTATTCGTTTGCAGTTTTCAGGTGGGGAAAGAATGGCTGCGACTCGAATTCGAAACCTTGGGTTATCACTTTGACATTGTTGAGATGTACGAGCTACTTACGTGCCATGCACTCAATATCACGGTAGTGCCTACGATGCTTTGCCAGTCGCCTGGGTTGTCTCATTCCCCCATCTCCGTTAGGTTTTTCCGCGTGTTCCACGGCAAAACGTGTTCTCTCTTTGGGTCTCGTACTGCAAGCGTTGAGGCACTGTCTTTGTCAACACTCGCTGATGTGGACCAGGCAGGAGATGTTGTCCTGTCTTTTGATAATCACGGGACGAGGCAATTATTTCTCTATTCATTCCATACTCTTTATCTTCATTTTGCTTTGATTTTTTCTGGCCAAAAGCTACAGACTTGATGAGTTCAGCAATTTTTGTGGTTGAATTATCAATGTCAGTTATGTGATCGCTGAAGAGAATGAAAGGACCTAATTCGTGAATCGGCAACGCATCTGGTCTCAGTTGTGGGTTTCACTTCTTTTCAGTATTCTTGTTTATAGGCCCACATTGATGACTGTTCTCACCTATAGGTGCACTACATGGCATCTCCCGCTTGAGGCCCCACAAGCCGTCTGCGAAGCATTGATGGGGTGAGATAGCACTAACTCGTGCACAATGATGGGGTGCGCATGCGATCATTGGGAGATGATGTTCCGGTCGGGTTGTTACGTCAGCGAATCGGGACTGAATCGGTTCGGGCGCTCACTTCGTATACCAACCCATTGGTTGCCGAGGATCTAGGGTGCGTGCAATATTTGACTTGCTGTCGTTGAATGGAGCCACTGATGGCCATTATGAGGTGTATCTGAGAAGACTCGTCGCAGCTGGACTCAAGCAGACAGTCACCACACCTCCAAGAAAGCGATAGACGGTCATTTTGTCCTATTAGGGACTCCTCGGTAACACGCATTCGCCGGGTCCGAACCCATCACGCTATTCTGACAAGCCGGCAATTCATGCCACTGAGCTATGAGTGACGTCGACGGACCACTATGTCTGATTTCGAGCTGCAATATACTGAGGCTCATCCTCCACTGTCCTGCATGTTATAAACATGCAAAGTACAATGCTTATCACCAGAGCTACGACTAACTTTGAAACTGCAACCACTCGGAGTGACATGCAGACTGCCTTCCAGGATGGGCCGGATGCTGCCCCCTCTGTACTTCCCGACGAGGTTGCAAGTTGTCTCGAAACGATACCAGTAGTGTGTTTGTTATCGTTCCCGAGGTCTCAATCTCTGCTATGTCACTTTATGTTCACATGATAACTGACTGATTGGGACCCTTGTTATGCCGACACTGTGTTGTGACTTCCCTTGAATGTTTACTTAGGTCATTTATGTGCTACCTTAGGTCCCCCTTTCCTTATTGGCAGCGAAGCGTCAACACAAATTACTGGCTTACTGATGTCGATGACGCTGCTTTTTGTCGTCACTTTACGTCATCCGTACGGCTTGCAACATGTACGGGGAACTTTCGGCTTTTATCACTTCCATTGTCCGTCCCCTTCAGGAGTCATTTATACCTTTAACGGCTGCGAATCCATCTCCGCCTGGTCTGACAACGACTCCGATAAACTGGACGACATCGATATGGCCCCGGACTCGCAAATGTCCACTGCTTCCTCGAATCACGGAACAACCGACGTCCACAGCTCCGTCGGTGCCTTAGCTCACGCTTTGATGGCATCTTCTTTGACTGATTCTCAGCTGGACAATGTGGATGGGGGCGCATCGTGTGCGGATCCGTTGTTCCTATGCAGTCTTGCCAAGTGTCTTTCTTGGCCTGATAGTGTAACTTGTGCCAAAGCCTCCCAATGGATACCTCCTCTGATTGACGCGGTAAGCACTTGCGGAAACTTTCGCCCATTCTACCTTATCTCCTTTATATGACAGATAAGTATTAGAAATCCTTTACTCTGAAACGGTTTTTCGGGATGTTGAACGATTTACTCTCTGGCGGTTGAAATGTGCATGCTCTCGAGTATTTGGGTAACTCGATGAGGAGACGATCACCCCTTGAGATGATTTTTTTCTGTGCTTTATGATCGCCTGCAAATTGATATCATTCTTCGTCTCGGCTTGAGAAAGTTAGTTTTTCGAAACTACGTGCAAGTCACTGGGAAAATCGGGTGTAGAAATATGGACGGTGAACTCAAGAGTTGATGTCAAAATCCATGCATCCCAAGCAAGAAGCCTTAGCTGGATACATAGTCGCTTTTATGCGCACAGAAGATTAAGGGCTCTACAAATTTGATTATTATTATTCTGATGCATTTGTTGTAGTTTACAACTAAACTGTGCTTCATCCAGTGATTCATTTTCAATGGATGTCTGGCGGTTGATGACGCCTGTTGGTTACATGAGTTTAGTGGTCACCTTCGTCAGACTACCTGCTTTAGTCAGGCATCGATTTAATTTGCTGTGGTGACTGCTGGCTTCTACACTCATATACAAAGCAAAAGACAGTGAGTGGCAGCTGTTGTCAGTTGTGCAAACTTGCTGGTATGCGTTCTGATCACTCCAGTTGGGAACTAGTCTAGCTGTATTGAATGCTTGTCGGCTCGCTGTGAGCACACATCTTGCGCTGTCTCCTTAAGGAATCATTTCCTGGTAGACAGGCATCTTCTCCATTTTCTTCCGTGAAACCGAATACGAACATTTCTGAATACTCTGTAGTCCGTTACACATTTAAGCAATACAAACGCATGGGAACCTGTTAGCGATACGCGCAGTTCCAAGGAATCCGAAGAATTAAAACCGGTACTGATCACATAGCAACAGGAATAGATCAACAGTCCAGAATGTGTTCCGCGACTGCCGGAATAATTACAAACTCAAAGCCGGTCTGACTACGCGTATCAGTCAAAGGCTCCTAAGCGTTTTCTTTCGCTCACAGTGCTCAAACGATTTCTTCGCACACAGAAATACTAACAAATTCCTGGTCGATGCAGCGAAAAACCAAGCATTAAGATGTCGTTGAATTTGGAAGTTATCTATCTAACCGAAGACCAGATCACAAATTCCGCAGCTCTGAAGCTTGTGATGGAGAATGCGGTGGTTCAGACGGTCAAACGCCCTTGAGAATTGCAGATAAACTGCGTCAAAGCTCACACCGCTGTGAAGACAATCTCATTCCAACTGGAGCGAGCGAGTAGTAGTTTTGTGGTACAATATCGGTTCCGGCTGAACTCATACTGTTTTGTTGCTACGACATTGCATGTCTTTGGAAAGCATGGGAAAAGTGTTATCCGGCGATAGTTGATCAGATCTGAGCGACTTCCTCCTCCCGTGAATGGAAGTGACGATTCCATGCTTTCACATTGTTGGAACTCGCATCTCATCGAAACATTGTCTGTAAGACAGAGAGTGCGGTTCCACCGAATTCATCGTAGCCAGCTTCGCGGATATGATCATCACCAGCAGAGGTATGCTCGCGCATGAAATTGGTCTCTTCCGAACACCTACGGCCATAAACGCGATATGATTAAGTAATGGTAATGAAACATATGCGCCAAATCTGTGCTCTGGAAGGTTGGGGGAATCGCTGACGTGGGGTAATGGTCACTTCTGTTCCAGTTTGTCCACGTGGCGTGTGTAGGGCTATAATCCATTGTCACACTTTACGAAGTTTGTTAATTTGCTTACAATAGGAGTATTTAAAAGATTTCCTTGGCTAGATACTGTCGCTTTATTTTATCTCCGCGTACCAAGTCCACGCATGAGTTCGTTTGACGGTGTAAGCTTCCCAAGTTTCGGAGCCAGGCGGCCCCTTGTGCTTTCGCCAGAGTTGCTTTCTAATGACCGCATCCTGCTTCATCTCAAGGTCGTAACTATCATCGATCGTCTGACACTGTTGCTCGAAGCGCTGGTTACTAGCTTGTCGATTTAATTGACAAAATCATACCAGACAACATAGTGGGGGCTAGTTCGGCTAGCACTGATCAGTTGGTTGCATTGATGAATGTAGTCCCAACGCCGAATCTGTAGTGAGCTGGGAATCATCGGTGTTTTTTTACCGAATACTTTGCATAACAAATGTGTTTGGACAACTGTTACATGGTAGCTATGGCCCAAAAGGCTATTTATCTACACTGCTTCGATCTTAAGCTCCTCATAAGTGGACAGGAGATCCAGCACAACTTATCTGTTCCCCATTCTGAATCTTGTGGGGTAAGTAACGTAGTTATAGTGGCTCTTGTACTTATACCTTGAAATGTTCATCGAGGAAAGTGTGGGATTTTGGGCATGAAGATTAATGTCAACACTCATGAAAATGTATTATGTAACTTTGCGAGAACATTCTTCAAAGTGGAGGTTAGGCGATTGTCCATCTCCAAATTAGACAACAAACGGCTTTGCAACACACCCACGTCTTAGGTTAAGACAGCACCATAGCGCGTTGTTCGTCTGGACCCCCGGGTCTTCGATGAGATCACGGTGTAGCTCACTGCGTCAACAGATACACCGTATCCTCCATTCGGTCAAACTGCGCGCAGAATAGACATCCAAATCAGTACCGTTTCGGCGTCGGTGATCACTTCACTCAACCACGGCTCTGTTACCATGATGAGGTCTAACGACATCGAAGCCTTACGCAGCCCGAGCCCTATCATTTTTCTGAAAAGGCCTTGTACGTTGCCATAAAAACGAGAGCGACATTTATGTTAAAAGATCGGTGGAAGGTGTCGACATCAGGTGTGAGACTTGGCCAACCCTCGGGAAGTCGGCTGTTATTCTTCTTTGAGGAGTCGCTGACTCTGGAATTGGGATACATTGCTGCACTGGACACTCCAGGTCATGCTAACTCAGATGGTCACTTGTATCTTGCGATGTCCCTCCGAATGTTGTGAAGGCCGTTAGGTTAGTTGCTGCACTGGACCTCACAGCAGGTATTTTCACTGAGCCTGCCTCCTCCCCTGGGTAACCATTAGCATGTGGTCGTGTCCCTGTTGTCTTCAGTCGAATGTCTGTTGAATGCCGGTTACGGAATAGCTCAATTTTCTAGATGGGCTTGTGTCGCTAGTTCAGATCGTAACACCAGCTTCAGCAACCTGTGGCCACAGTATCTGTACTAAGTAGGTGGCAGATAAATTTTTGTCAACGAAGTAACGGCGACCTCGGTAATGTAGCGCCATTGCCCCCGATCATATGCCTTAGCTTCATCGGAAGTGGAAACTTGAGACTCTGGGACACTGTGAACAACAATGGTTTGCTTATTATAGTGTTTTCAAATTCCCTCTTGGTTACTCGTAGCTTTTAAACGTTTTTACCACAAAATGCCTTTTACTATGCCTTGCGTAGCCGATTCGCAAACATCAGAATGGCTTCTGTCTCATCCGTGGAATTTACTATTACCCGAAATAATCGAGGCTCACCATACTACAATGAGTTTTGTTGACGCGATGTCCGTCTCATTGTAGTGAAGCCAGCCCGGATAATGTTGGCATTACAAAGGTAATCCCATTGATTACGATCGTCTATCAGCTTACCCTTCATTGTTTTGTATTCGGGAACGTTAGTGCACACAGGACCTGAGGCACCACGATTGCACCTGGTGACTGTCGGCTTAAGGCACTAAGTTCTACTAGTTTTTGTGGATTATTTAACAGCACTGGCGATAGCAATCTATGCTGCGATACTTCAATTTTGTCCAGTCTGGTGCGTGAAATCGGGTGATTTTCCCGGTGTTTTCTATAGGTAGCAGATGTGTACGTTGTCCAGTCATTTTCTACTTTGAACTGTGGTAACTGAATTTCTGAGTGCCACAATCTGGAAGGAAGTGGAAACAAGCAAGCTGTAAATGACTCTTCCACTTAGGATGGAGAAGTAAATTGGGACAACTGGAGACTGAGAAGTCGAGGTGAGATGGTGACGCCTGACTCTCTTATTTGTCTTCGGTGAAAAATGTGTAGTGATTCGTTGAGATGCAAATGTAGCTTCGTTTAGTTCCAGCGATATAACGTTCAAATGCTCTTGTCAGCCTGTTAGACTTTATTGGCACAATTAGACAGCTTACAACTGGAATGGATTTGCATACCTGGCAAAACCAAAACGCCGCAGCTATGCTACCTCGCCTCGAGTGGCGATAGCCATACGCATTTATAGTGAACACTTTGGTCAGTGAGCACTTTGCTCCTGTATTCACGGCTTTAACACAGATCACATTTGCCGTTGAGATTGATCACATGTGCTAATGACTTGATCTCGCGCAGCTTGTTAAGTTTGTCAACCGTAAACTTTTTCAAAGCTCACGTCGATGGTGCGTGTGATTCACCGTGTCCACTTTGTGCGTAGTCACTGGTAATTTAAACACGCACCTCTATTGGTCAGTGGGTCAATGGACGTCGGCTGCTTAAGCAAGAGTCCGTTACTGTAGCTTGACACAAATGAAAAGTTCAGGATAAATAAATAAATTACTATCGAAACGTTCGAGGTATCATCATATGGAAATACAAGTTCCTCCACAGCATTCTAGAGGAACACCGTATTAAAACAAGTTTTGGATCGTCAAAGGCCCTCGAGATATCTGTGCCTATAGAACACAGTTGAGGAACCGGCTCAAAAGCTATAGAGTTGCGCACGTATGGTTAAGTACCAGGGCCATTTAAAACAGCCGGCGTCGCTGAAATCATGAATCGTAGAAAATAATTCCACTTGTGCTTTAGTGAATGGAACTAGTAAATCTAAATCGCCTAAATCTACGGTGGAAGGATGAAATCCGTGAAAAATAGGATCGCAAAAACTAAGCGTCTGTTAACAGGAAGTGCGAACTGATTTTTCATTCTCCCGCTTGTTCGATGGCACATCCAGGAAAGTTAGCTGGTCATTGTCCTCTATGTCACAGTCAACGTGCTCATTTGGACCGGCTCAGCCTATCACCTTTAACAAATGTCTCACCGAACTATACTATATCTCAACCGGGTTTTCCGTGGAGCAGCTTAGCACAGGTTTCTTTCATTGTTTGAAGTCTGATTTCACGGCTATCATCCCTTAATTTTCCAACCTAGCATTCGTACTTCCATCTCACTGTTCATGGCTGATTCCTTCTTTTATTGATATCTACATTCTGACCAGTGGCGCAGGAGGTCGGCTGCGATGAGCTGCCACCAGGAGAATGATGACTCTTGCTGCCAGGAACCCAACTGACAATAGTACACATGCCTTCGGCACTTCTAATTCAAATCACCGATCCTACGCTTGTTAATCTTGTTCCTTACTTTGTTTTTTAACCCCCCCCTAGCTGTATCCTATTCATGAATATGTTTAATGGACTTTCAGAATTTTCACATTTAACAGCACAAGACGTTGCCCTTTCAACTTATGTGTAGCAGCGTGTTCACCGAATTAAACGTATGCTTTTAGGCATACTGTCATTTTCATATCGATGAAACTATGTTACATCTCGGTAGCTCAACCGACCGGTACCGCATACGCTGCTGGTGTCGTACGCCCGGGTTACAATGTATCCAAAGAGTAAACCCCATCCCACTTTTCATTTCAGATGCTTCAGTCCCCAGTCACTGGAGACAGCTCCACTCCTTCGGACAAGCGCCACTTACCAGCGCCTTTGGCCGAGTCCGTTCTCTTTGGCATTCTATGTGGTCTGCATGTGAACGGGAAGAACACCGAATCCAATTTACCCGGTCTGCTACTCGCTGGAGTTCGTGTCTACACTTCCGTTGACGCTTCAGTGGCTTGCGATCGACTTCGGACGGTGGTCACCAAGATACTCCTAAATACATTTGGTGACGATTCTACGCAATCAACCCAGCTAATACAATCGATCCAGGTATGTCCGACAGGAGTTTTTGAACAGATGTGCCTGCTCACGAACGCATTTTGTTTCATGTATAACTTTTCGTCAAATAACACTGAGTCGATGCGTGTGTTCTCCACTCTCTTTTACGATCGTACTAAATTCATTTCAACTTTCCCTGTTCTGTTTTTGTAACCTAGAATTTCGAAAATAAGGTATTCAACAGTTCCAAGACGCTACCGGAAAAGGCAAAGCGGGAATTGTTCAAAAAGCTTGTTCAACCCATTATCGGAGTACGTCATCTTGTCCACTACTACAAAACTACCATATGTATCGACCACCCGGAAGTAGTCTGTTTGGTTTACTCTCGACTAAACGCATAGCGGTAATTCTCTCTATCAGGTTGTTCCGATCACGTAATTCACTTGGTACAGATTATCCAACATTTCCCTCTGCGCTAGACAAAAACGGCGGCCTCCAAGCTGGCACATGCACAACCACTGGGAACCAGTGCAAATTTTAATTTCTCCTGGGCAACCCTACTACTATCAGTTTTTAAATGGTATAGCGATACATCACATTTGCGTCGGACCCCAGCGCCATTGAATCAATCGATGGACTGGCTATTTTCCATTTCCCACATTTCTGGGTATTATTTTGTATGGGACAAATATATATGGATACTTTGTTTTATCGCGCCACATTTTACACTTGTGCATAACCTCATGCAGTTTGAATTAAATCTGTGTATCTAATTGGGTGTCACTCCACATATTCGTAAGCCAAACCACGGTGTATGCAGTGTAGTTTTGCAGCCAAGACCGTGCGATTATATAGCGTTCGTCAACTCACAGTTGACATGATTAAATCGTTGTGAGTTACACGGCAGACGCCTCTTGCAAATCGGCCACTGGCGTACTTCCTGGATGGCCATATTCCATCCATTTCTATGATGGTCGCGTAGTCTACTTCGTACACATTTCCACGCCATAGACACACATTTATCTTTTAGTCTTTTCTGCAAAGTGAATCTCGGCAACCTTTTCGGGAGATCACGGGCCCCACATATTCATAAGGAATTGGATTTCATCGTTAGCGCTGAATAATAGAGTTCTTGGAAACTCTGATCCATGGTCCGATAAGCTCCTCGAATTACAATAGGCGTTTGCCAAACTGAAAGCTGCTTTGTTTCCTCGCAGCCATGCCTGCCCCACGATCCATCTGATTACTCCGCCCTCACACTGATATTTGTCTGTAATTACCAACAATTCCCATTCATTTAGCATTCGTTGCTCTCGATCGATTTCCCCATTACTCAACCTCTTTCCGTCGCCACATTTTCAGGTTCCCCTTAGTCGACAATTTTGTGACAATGTGGCAATCGCCCCTCTCGCCCCATTGGTTCGTTCCAAATGGAAGCAATCCACTCGCAACGGCGACTCGTTTCCGGACACTTTCGGCCTCTGCGCTCTATTCTCCAATTGATGAGACGCATTTTTCTTGTTTCCTCACCGAGATTTCCTTCCTCGAAAACGCAACAGAATGAATGTACTCATTTACCACCATGTTGGCGTTTGATCCGGACTTTCATTCGTGAGTGTACAGCACCAATGAGTTGCCAATAAACATTTGGGTGTAAATAATTTCCACCTGCTCGTTCAAACGCGTACCCACCTCGCCACTAAGCACAGTTTACGCTTCTGAATGGATAAGTTGCATTTAGATCGTTAAAGCCCAGGGCATGGTCAAACGCCTGCGTATATGTGACGTTCCGAGGGACTATCATCGATGCAAATCGCACTTTGATTATGGTATCCCGATCCAACACACAGGAGATATTTGGTAAGCCATCATATTGATGGTACTGGCTACACCAGACATTGTGTTTAGGCAACATACCATAACCGCTCATTCGATTCAGAAATGTGCTTCTCAGGAGTGATGTTCTGGTGCAGCACGGACTGCAGTGCCATCGGCACGAGATAAATGGTATACCTTAGTATGCCATATTTACGATGAGTATGTAAATCCCACTTCCCTAGAGAGAAAAACAACAAACAGAGCCTAACTTGGATGAGAGAAGAATGTGGGGGTGGAGGATGGGAATGGGAGCGGTAGTTTTTGCAGTTCCCGCACCTTGAGCGTACTCGGAAGAACGGTGCGAGTCCTGCAATGCACTTGCGGTTCTTCGCCGAGTGGATACCGTCCATTTACTTCTACAGGCTCATCAGTAAACCGACCTATGAAAAGTGTGCATTCCAAATTCGTCTGTGGAACAACCGCCGCGTGCTAGCTTGCGACACTTAATACCTATTGACATATCGGTTCACTTTGAAGTAGATCTCGGTCATTCTGATCACAAAAACTGTACAGCGTAACGGTACTTGGCTGCCGCGCGACCACCACCAGTCGCGCGCTGGCTGAATTATACCGTGAGGACGCCCACGCCTACGCAGATTCGAACCGGTAACCTTATGGCTACAAACCAGGCGCGCAGACCAATCGACCACCGGCCGAATTGACACTCCATGATCGGTTTCGTCCTGGATTGGACTCATCAAATGGAGATAGCCTGAGCAGGGATGGAACTCGGGGCCTAGTGGTTAAAGGCTGACGCCTTGATCACTGTATCACTAAGATCCGTGAGCATCGTTTGGCACAGCAGTAAGGAATTCAAACTTCGATTTGGAGTACCCGCTGTATGTTTGGATTGCGACACGCAAGCACTATTGAGACCTCGGTGCAGGAGTTGCTCTTTCCAATACGGACACCCCAAGACAGGTTTCATCCTCGCATGAACTCATCAGGTGAAGATAGCCTAAGCTGTGTGGAACTCGGGCCTAAGCTACGGATATCCGTGAGCAACGCTTGATAAAGCAGTGTGCTTTTGTTCGCCTGCGAATATTCTACGCATAAAGAGGTTGCATAACAGACACCGGAGACAGAAATGTAACGATCATAAGCTTTCTCCTGCAGCAATAATTCCTTCAAAAGAGCGAGTCCTTGCTTAGGCGCTGACTCGAGCGAACTCGTAATGCGGTGTGGTCGTGTTGAGAACGGGACGTGGGGCAGAGGAGTCGTATATTGGAGAACCAGCGTCTAGATAGTATGCTAGCTCAAACATGGAAACTCAGGCCCAATTCGCGCAATTTCCTCGTTGTACTATTCCAACTCGGAGGAAGCGAACTTCTCCACCACGCATCTTTTGTCCGGTGATCCATGATTCCCCTGTCCCTCACCGTTTCCACACACTACTCACTAGTAGCGCGCTACACTCTGTCAGTTTTCGTGTCAGTCGACGTTCGCGCAGTCTTTCCGATCTCCGAGGCTGCTCCATGTATACCGTAGTTCTCCTCGCTCGTACCACTTCCTCAATTCGCTAGCACGAACACAACGCCTATCTCATATTATATATATATATATATATATATATATATATATATATATAGCAGTCTATAAGATAGACATACAGCCAGCGAAACCTATGAAACTGTAGTAATAAGCAGAGACCATAAAGAAAAGGATGGTTACAAAAAGTTTTGTTTTTGAATGTTGTCTTTTCTTTCTTTTTGTTTTCTTTTCACAGGCCGTTTTATCTTTTTTGTCTATTTAATGTTTGCGAAGTAAATCAAAACAAACATTTGTATACATTTTCCATTGGGCCCGGTTCTTCGCCATCTCCGAAAGAGTTTCCAGTCAGCGATGTTCTTCATCTTTGATTCCCTAGCCCGCATACTCCAAGACAAAAAGACGCTCACCAGGAAGTAGCTCCACACTTAGGTCGGGTCCATCGAACGCTGTTTCTATGACTCCATCAATGCAGAAGTTAAAGGGGAAAGGTGACAGCTGGCAACCTTGCTCACACCGCTGGTGATACTGAAGGGTGGCGACAGTTTGCCATAAACCCTCACTCTGCCCGAACTGTGCGCGTACAGCGCATATTTATCAGGCACATCTCCCCTCAGTAGACAGTCCCAATCAACTGTGTCGAAGACACCTTTTATGTCAAGAAACACGACAACAGTGGGTCGCCAATAAACATGACGGTGCTCTAACAATTGACGCAAAGTGATGTGGTCGATGCAGCCTCGATTTCGACGAAACCCGGCTTATTCTTCGCGGATCTGGCCTTCACGAACGCCAGCCAGTCTGCGGAGAACGACAAAGGAAAGCAATTTAGAGGCAATTGAAATCAGACTGATCCCTCTATGGCTGACGCATTCCGAACGAGAGCCTCCCTTGAAAATCGGGACCATGACGGAGCGGCTCCAGTCTGTCGAGACAGTTTCTTGCTACCAAATTTCCGTTAGCAACTCCTGTACAGCAGGTCCCCCCCCAATTGGTAGAGAGCTGGGGGAATTCTATCTGCACCAGCGGCCTTATGCAATTTCAGCAGTCTGACCTCATGTTCGAATTCTGCGCGTGAGGGCGGATCTGAGGAGACGGCCCATGGAGAAGAGCACTCAGTGCCCGAAGGAGAAAGCGATAACTCAGGTTTGTTAAACTGCCTTGTAAAGTGTTCGGCCCAACACTACAAGCGTTTTGACAAGCTGTAGACCGGCTGCCTATTTCCCATATCAAACGAAATGACTTACGATGATTACCAACGGCAGCGGCTGTTTCCATTTCCGATGCACGATGAGACCACCAGGCTTCGCGGTCTTTCTTCAGGCTAGCATGCAGTAATGCCCTGTTTTTTGCGAGTCTCATTGTATTCGTTTCCAACTAGAATACGTCGGCGAGCATCCATAAGTCCCAGAGACTTTGTAGAGACTCAATGTCTAGGTTGATAGTTTGAATTTCCACATGAATATATGCCTGCTGACAGTAACGTTTGACGAATGTGCGACCAGTGATCTTCGACAGAATTCAGTGGATGCTTACTCAACCCAGACGCCAGCGTAGTTTAATACGCATACGAAACACCTGGCTTCGCCAGCTGGCTGTTGTTAGTGCGCTCAGAGCGACGTTGGGGACGTCCGCCGAAACGCACCCGCAGATCAGTGAGTACAGCGTCGGCAATATAAGCGGCATTGTTTCAATAACTGGCGTAAAATGGAGATATGATCAATGCACCCTCGATTTCAGCGAAATCCGGCTTGCCCTTCACAAGTCTGGCTTTCGATCAATCTATGAATAACTACAGAGGCAGGTAAGTTGAAAGCGATTGAGATTGGACTGATATCTATGATTACCGCATTCTGAACGTAAAAGTACTTCGAAAACCGGTCGGGACCGTTTCCTGCTCCCACAGTTTCAATGATAAATCGTCCATAATTGATCTCCCAAAGGTTAAGAGTGTTTGGGGAGGTCCATTTAGTCCTGCAGTTCTATCTAACGTTTTTAGTCTGATCTCATGTTCGACTTTTGTTCGGGGGACGGACTAAGATGGACATCTCAGGAGATATGGCGATCACTCTCCGGTAGCGAACCTAGTAGTAGGCAGACTAAACTTTTTAAAATGTCCGGCCCAGCGTTTTGATAGATTGTGAATAGGCTGTCCACTTTCGTCGCATATAATTTTGCTAACACCATCCCTTATTGTCAGAATGACTTCCGGTGGTTACCAAGATCAGCAACAGTGAACGATGAAACCGCTAGGTTTAACGGTCTTTTCAGTTTTGTCCTGAGATCTTTGCGAGTTCCGCTGTGTTCGCTCCCAGGAGGAATGTGTCGGCGAGTATCCCGAAGTTCCAAAGACTGCGCACAGACCTAATGGCAAGGTTGGCAAACACGTTTACCGCACGAAAACATTCATGTTACCTCATAACGTTTGGTTAGATGTAAACCCGACGGACGACAGATATGAGACGCATGTGGCGTCCACCGCTACTTTAATTAACACATCTCTTAATGAGTCAACTTGACAGCACCCACTAAACGTTGCTTCTATCGTTTGTGGTAGCTAAAGTATACTCATAAAGTCAGTGTTTGAAGTCGTGATTAACTTGACAGGAAAGACTCTTGCGTATCGTTTCGAGGCATGTAATCCACCTCCAATTCAACTGGCTAGTTTGTACATACCCAAGGACCGAAGCGTAAGCCAACCGAGTATTACTTCTACGGTAGACATCCGGTGCTAATGCTGTCATTTCCTGCGCTCAGGTAGTACACATCTGGTCATCTCTCATTTGATTTGTAGTCATATTTCGAATCGCCACAGTGACTGGGTTTGACCATGTGCATAACAGATAAAACAAATGGAAAACAAGTTCCTTGTTGTTTCCGTAGATGCCCAAAGTCGGAGTGTTTTTCATCAATGGTGTAGCCGACCTGGGAGCCAGTATCCACGAAAACGGGCGGCCGATGACCGTGGTCTGCACGTCTGGCTTGCAATCATATGGCCATCGGTTCGAATCCGCGCAGGGGCGGGTGTCATCGCGGTATACTCAGTCCACGCGTTAATGGTAGTGGTCGCGCGACATCGAAGCGCCGTTACGTGTACAGTTGACACAATATTTTATCCATGAAAACGCTAACGGCCAACGCAAGTTGAGTTAGTTTTTCCACGCATTCTTCTCACATCGTCAAATGACCACTTTTCCCGCTGAGGTAGGCATTCGATCGATATTCAAAAGACGCGTCCTAGATAGTGTCCACGATTCAAGTACAAGAGATTATTAGTAAATAGCATGGGCATTTGTGAGATTCATTGTAGAAGAGGAGGGGTGGCCAAGCGATGACTTGGTCGAGAGGAATGAAGGCCCTCACTTCGGAGCTGGCGGTTGGAGCGTCTCGGCTCCCTGGTTGGGGTCCGAAAGACGATGAACACGTTTGGCTGGATACACTTGCTGATATTGCTAGGAGTCGACTTCAGTGGCGTTCGTGCTGTGAGTTTCTTTGTCCCACCCCGTCCCTCTTAGCCTCCCCCTCCAACCACGATCTCACTATTTAGCCTTAAATAATTTTGCATAGTAATTTTTTGATGCACAGTAGCCGGCTGGTAGCTTACCGGAACGATGCCCATCCGTTACCGGTAGCTCAGTCGGCTTGCACCAGTTGCTTTTGTTTATCTTTTTTTAAGTATTGCGGCACAGTAGCTGAGGTGTTTCCCATCTCCAGCTAACGTGTATGATGATGAGCATGGGCATCTATTGAGCTTTTGTGAAGATTCGTCGCAGCTAGACTCAGGGGGCTTGGAAATGAAGTCGTTACTCTGGGGGCCAGCCCTGTCCTCTGCACATTCATAACATGCATGATAGTGGAGGATGAGCTGCGCCATATCGCAGTTAGACATCAGTCATGGCGGTTCGCCCATTGCTCAGTGGCATAAGTCACTGGGTCGTAAGAGTAGGGTCGTGGGTTCGAATCCGGAAAGATTTGGCGGGTGTGCGCTACTGACAATGCCAATGGGACGAAACGGCCGTCTAGCGCTTTTTGGATGTGTGGTAGCTGTCTGGCTGAGTCTAGTTGCGACGAATCTTCATAATCACAAGAAATCTTCATCTAATATAGTGCCACTTACTCTTTCGGTGGTCTAACCAGTCATGAGCGATGGTACACAGGAACAAGTGCCCAATGACAACCAGCTCCTTTATGTCTCTTAGCGCTTCCGAATACCTAGGTAGCGATATCGGACAGCCAAACGTTGTCTTATCATATGTACGAATCGATTCATAAGCACTATCTCCCTCATTCCTCACCACTCTGGTGATTGTGGATTTCATCCGGAAAGTATGACGTCATATGTGAGTCATTTAACCAGGGATGGATAGCCCATACAAGGAAAGGCTTGGAAGGACTCCACTTCTCTATTTGAGGTGTTCCAAATAGCCAGATTAAGCCTTCAGCTACGCTCTTTGGAAGCGTAAATGATAAAACTAGCCTACAGCACCAAACGTTGACCAGCAGCTTGCTGTGGGGAGGTGATGCTAGGGCGCACAACTGTAATTCGCACCCAAGTGACGAGCAGATGGGTTTAAAGTAAGGGCCGTCAGTCCAATGCAGTTAAAGAGTCGCTAATTCCGTCCGCAAAAGCAGGGTTGCGAGTTCGACCCAATGACCCATGGTGGTTGTCTAAATGAATCTGTTTGTGACGATGTTTCTTTAAAGAGTTCCAATGCTACCGTACTCCTCCACAAAATGAAAAAACTATTTGACGCCAAGATCGCTACGAAGTAGCAAGGTAGTGTGTGCGCAGAACGCATCAACGTGTCCGCCTGAGCTTCGCAAGAACTCCAATTTGATGTTTTAGTTGAAATCCAGAGAGGAACAGATGAGTGGTGCACCGCTTTTGATGGAAGAAACACCTTTGGGAAAGACTCATTATGATTCACAGAACACACGGAAAAATCTGCTCGCACAAATTTGGAGCACACCTCATGAAAGTCACATAAGCAAGCAAGTGACACATTTTGCTGCTGAATTGTATGGAAAAAAGACACCGAAGCACATGAGGTTGAGGGAGTGCGGACAGTTGTGCGTCATTCATCGTACTGTCCTTTAGAGGCGCGAATAATCCATCTGTGCGGAAAAGAAGGAACAATGGGAAACTAATAGTGAAGACAATTTCAGACATACGGATACATGTCTTGCTATGAAGAACGGATCAGTGAACCCTACAAAAGTCGAAATCCAATCGCTTTCTAAAAATCTAGTGGGATCGATCAAGAGACTATTATCAGATTACGTAATACTACGTACGGAATAGAACAGAGTACATTCGACGTCACCGGGAACACAAATAACGGTAGTATATGTAGTGCGGTTCTGTCGTATTTTGCGGCCATTAAGCCGATATCCGAAGCCTCATCATTTTGATCGGAACGATCAAGTTCAAAACAGCTAATCAGAGACTTTGGTGATTGTGACATGTCTCGTGATGCGCGGTGCGTGAGAGATGAGGAGACTCCGCCCGTAGTACATCTTGGGTGATCGTCTGAAATTCGTAATGTTACCAGAACAATTTTATCTGAGCACACGTAGACATCAACTGCCTAGTTCTGCCCTATGATGGGCAGAACCGTCGTTCATATCGCAGCACGACTCATCATGGTTCACTATATTCCAACGATAGACGCTGTAATCGTGCGATGTAACGGTATCCCACATCTACCTGGGATATTAATCATCAATTTCCTCGGTGAATTCTGCGGAATGGACTTAAAGTTAATTATAACTGTAAAGAAAAAGGACATCTTCATTTCGGTTCCTTTTAAAGATGATATATCCTAAGAGTTACCGGACAAAACACTGTCGATCGCAATGAGCCAGACATATCCGGCTACTGGGATACATATTCTTGCCGAGACAGTTCCGCTCATGACTAAACGCCTCACAGACAGAATCCCGGCTCGTTCCGAATTATTTGTGTCATAACAGTTCACTTGCACCTGTGGTGCACACGACCAGGCGTCTGTCTAAGAGGATAGCGGAACAGTATCCTGCGTTTCTGCAACATGACACAGTTAAGAATGTTCACAGCTCTATCCTTAAGCATCTGGTTAGCAATGGGCATCATATTCGGACTGAAGACGGATTCAGTCCGCTACACTGTCGAAGCGCATCCCCAAATGAGGTGGTTCGGTGTTGCTCGTCCCAACCTTGACACCCCATAATCGGTTTCCTCCTCGTTTGGACTCAGCAGACTGAGATAGCCTAAGCTGGGGTGAGTGGCACAGCGGTAAGAAATTCAAAGTTGGTTCTGGAGTACCCGCTATGTGACACGCAATCTCGGTTCACAGAGAAGTAGACCTCAGTAATTACGATCACAAGGAACATATCCGAATTGGAAGTGACTCGGTGTTGCTCCCCCCAACCCTGACATCCCATAACCTGTTTCGTCCTCCTTTAGACTCATCAGATGGAAATTGAGCTTGGGTGGATCTCAGGGCTTAGTGGTTAAAGGCTGACGCCTATGGCTTTAAGATCCGTGAACAACGCATCCTCAAAGGACTCAGAAACCGTCTGCTGGTCACTGCCGAAGTAATAGCAATCAGGCTGTTACAATGTGAGTTATGCAAGCCAAAGACGTTAATACGAGCTCTCAGTTTGCCTTAGCCGAAACCCGGATTCTGTCCATATCTGACATAAGCCCCGGCTCAACTGTGAGTTCTGTACTCCATCAGCCTTTATATTCTTACTTCCGTTGTTTGCGTTTGCCATCGCAACGAGACTGGACTTTAACGTGGTGCGATGGTTTGAGTACCCCTGTGACCCATTGAGCTACCCTGTGTTGCACATTTAAGTGCCTTCAGAGTCACTCATACCACACAGATCAACGGTTAGGGGTCAGACTAACTCAGTCTCACAATCGCCCTGCTGCCTTGCGGGCAGGCTATTTAGCCAAAGGCTCGTGGTAGAGTCCCCTAAGACAACTCCTTACTGCGGCTTGGGAAACCAGGTAGTATCACGCCCACTGACAAAACCATGGACTGTTCATCTGCAATATCGCTCTCAGCTGCTTTTGCTCCTGCTAGTCACCTCCACACGCTACCCGTTCATTTGTTACCAAACAGTATTATCCGTTGGCACATGATTCTTGTTTCCATACTTCTACTCCGAATGGTTCGTCGACACCCAGAGCTCGCCCAGTCGCACTCCTTCGGCGTCGGTCTTCGTTCCGACTGGCATGTTTCAATGTACGTACACTCATGTAGATCGGGCAGCAAGCTGGTCTTGCGCGCAACCTGGAATCCCTGGCCATCGATGTTTACTGTCTTTCCGAAATGCGCTCAACAGGTTCTCAGTACCGTAATTGAGTTGAGATCTCCCACCGACCACTGAGCCATATTTCAACTACGTCTCTCTGGTGACGCAGAAGCAGCTGCGGCAGGCTTGGCTGGCGTTGGTATAGCGCTGAGTAGCAAAGCCGAGGACGCACTGATGGACTGGTTCCCAATTCATAGCTGACTGTGTAGTGCGGCTTCGGGGATCATGCAAGATAAACAGATGTCGTGAGGAGAGACGCAACTTGTTTGAGATCTCAGCTGACTGCAGTTCCGACTCCGTCAAGGACGTTTTCTACCGTGACCTTCATCAGCTCTTGAGCAGAGCCTGCAAATCCTTGCTGGGGATCTCAACGCACGGGTCGGCCGTCTATTGTCATGCGAAAGTCACCTCCGTTGTCACCATGCGCTCGATGAGATCCGCTCAGATAATGGAGATTTCTCACCCTGTGCGAAGATAATTCTCTTTTACTCTCGAGCACTAATCTTTGGCATTTGAGGAGGCGTCCTGCTACTTGGCAACCCCCTTCTGCGTCTGTTATGATCTCAGATTGATCATATCGCAATCAGTTTCAAATGGAGGGGTAGTGTAATGGATTGCAGCTCCATCTGGTCCACTTTTATTGGTTCAGACCATGCTCTTGTCTGTGCGAACATCTGCATGAGTTTCGGAGGGTCCGCGAAAATGAAGCGCTGTAAGATAGACACAAAAAACTATCTACTGTTTCGGCTCAGCAGAGGTATCAGGCTTCCCTGACTGGTGCACTCGAATGCGACCCACCGCAAGATATTGATGAACACTGGACGTGCATGCAGAGGACCACGATCTCTTCCAGACAGCAAGTTTGTGGTCTTACTCAGCACCCTGGCCTAGATCTCCACGCGCTCTTTGGATTTATTTGACCTCCCCAGGAATATCCCAGCGGAGGCTTATCATGATGAGGTGCGCCGTTTTGTCAGTCGGCAGCTCAAACAAAGCCTACGCAGTGACCGTGAAGCCTGGTGCTCCCAGCGTGCTTCGGAAATGGAGGCCGCTGCTCTCTCTGGCAATACTCGCAAGCTCTTCCAGCTCATTCAATCCACTGGCCACAGAAAGCCTGGTGTCAGTGAGACTATATGCGAAGCAGATGGTTCGCCGATCCCCAACTTACGGAGACGCTTGGACAGATGGGCCGAACATTTTCATTCCCAGTTCAATTGGCGCTCAACGTATACTTATACCCCCTGCGAATCCAGTTGCCTGCCCTGGGTAGTCACACTTGATTCATCCAGCGAAGCGGCAGTTTGTCTTGCGATTCGACACCTAAGACAATTCAAAGCTGCCGGCTCAGACTGACTTCCTCCGGAGATGTTCAAATATGGAGGTTCAGTTATCATTTACCCAGCTAACCACATTGTCCTCCAAAATCTGGCATGAAGAAAAGGTGCCTTCTTCCTGGGGCGAGTCAGTTATTGTCCAGGTTTTTTAAGATGGGTGCTCGCACTTCGTGTACTAATAACCAGGGAATGAGTCTCATTTAGGTTGCCTTCAAGCTATTGGCATTCATTCAACTCCGTAGACTAGCTCCCGTTCGCGAATCACAGTACCGGGAAGAACAAGTTGGCTTCGAACCTGGCCGCGGGTGTATGGATCAGATATTCACACTCAGTCAAATCATGGAACACCGCCACCTTTAGCAGAGGCCTACCATCGTTGCATTCCTGGATATCCGTGCCGCATTCAACTCCGTTGATCCACCTGCACTATGGCGTTGTTTGCTAAGGAAAAGTGCACTGCCATCCTACGCGCACTGTATTTCCACATCTGGCAGAGTGAGGGTGTACGGCAGGCGTTCGTCGTCCTTCGCTGTCATTAGCGGTGTACGACAAGGCTGCCCTATATCCCCGGTCACCTTCAATTTCGGGGTTGAAGACATCCTGTCGTGAGCTCTAGACGGTTACCCAAATTTTAGTATACAGCTATTACCGGACAACCGACTTAGATTATGTCAAAGATATCGCCTTACTTGGTGAGGACTCATAGAGCATGCAAACCATTCTAGACCGTTTGGCAATTGATGCATCTAGGTACAGCATGTACTTTGCCCCGTCAAAGTGTAAAGTACTGCTTCAGGATTGGCACTCAACTGTTCCCGTGCTTAATATTGAAGTTACACAGATTGAACAAGTGGATAGATTTGTCTACCTTGGCAGCTGTGTGTCTGCTGGTGATACCATTAGAAGGGAAGTTTCTCTTCGCATCGCCAAAGCTCGGTGTTTGTCAACCTGCAGCACTTGCGGCGTCGCCGGGACATCTTCCTCTTGGTAAAGGGTCGTGTTTACAACGCCACCGTTCGGGCGGTGTTGCTATTTGGAAGCGAATCATGGCCAATTCGCATAGACGATATGCGCCGGCTCTCTGCTTTCCACAAATGCTTGAGAAAGATTGCTCGTGTGTGGTGGCAACAATACACTTGCAACTGTGAAGTCAGATGTGGTGCCTTAGCGAATGCGAGTATTCACTACAGCAATCTGCTTTCTCTGCACCAGATGGTTTGGTCATGTCCTGCGTGTGTCAGCTGAGTGTTTACCCAATTGTGCTCTGTTTGCTCGTGCAGGACTCAACTGGAAGAGACCACGTGTTGGTCCACCATCCGCCTATCGACAGCAAATGAAATCGTTGACTTCACGTCTTTCCATCATTGAATGCACACGTCTGCCTGGTTGGGGACCAAAGGACGAGGAGTGTCGATGGTTGGAAACAATTCAAGATATGGCTCGTAACCGAAATTAGTGGAGGATCTGTGTATAGAACTTCTTAGACTTGGATACTTAATGCGTAACGATTAAAAGCGACAACAAGCTTTTTAAAAAACGGCTTGTGCAAAATGACAAAAAAATTCTGCTACCGCTGCTGCTGCTATTACTACTACTACTACCACCGCAGTTCAGTACCGTGATCATATTTTTTAAGTGAACGGCTACACGGATACCATGCCAGCCACTTATGAAACCAGGTGACAATGATCTCACCGCATTCTTCAGTTCTGTCCCGAAAAAAAACAACTTTGTTCACAGTCATTAGAAATAACTTAAAGGAAAGTTCCATGTTGCTATAAGTTGCTAGATGCCTTTAAACGCTTCCGTTAGCTTTCTCTATGGTAAAAGTGCTATTACGGGCTGACTCCAACAATGGGGCGTTCTCATTGGCCAGCTCCTGGTTGCTGATCTTCAACCTGAACTGCCGCCATCAACTGCAACCGCGGACGTTACACCAAAGAATAATGAAAAGCTTAGTTATTTGTTAATGGAACAGGTAACCCGACCTTTGGTGAGCTCCAATCCCTCTATGGGTCTGGCGGTAGCCGTACGTTTCTATGTGAAAGGCAGTTCGAGCTTAACAGTAGTTCCGATCTCCAGATATCAAACAACAACGCCGAGCAAATACCTCGCAAATGAGCGCAGCTGACCGAAGCACGAATACGAAACGAACTTCGTAGCGTGTATCGGTTCCGATGGTTAAAATAAACTGCATACTAAGTATTGAAAAGTGAAGAAGGAGATGTAGAACATTACAAGCGCAACAGTACCAGGCTTTCTAAACAGGAAGCGAGTGTCATCTTTCCGGTCACTAACCGGTACATAGACAAAAATCTCAAACGGAGCGTGTTTCTTTACGACATGTGTTGATTCTGCTGTCGTCCTGAAACCGAACTATTCATGCTTAGATGTAAACAGGGAATTATTCCAACAACTCTAAGTCATTCGTCTCGCTTAAAGTTACGCTATCTTCACGGTCTCGCAGTATCACTACCGACCTGATGCTGGGCTGCTATGCTTCATTCTGTTTACCGTCACTGTGAATGACGTTATGAAAAATGTCATGTATTATCAGAACGTTGGGCTGCTTATGCGTGAAGGAATTAGCAAATTACGGCATACTGGCCCCACTATTGCAAACCATGCTTTCCCTCATGCTACCAATAATATGCTGTACTGTTTTGAAACGACTATGGCAGCTGACTAGCTAGTTTTTAAAAAAAGACAAAAAAAGGAAAGTGGAGTGGTAAAATAACAAAAATGATCCATTTTTCTTTTATTGCAGCACGATAGCTGAAGAGTGTTACTCACCTTCAGCTAATGTGCCATGATGATGATGATGATGCGTTGAGTATACCTGCCTTCCAGTGATTTCCATGGTTTTGTTTGGCTCTATGTCTATTCAACCAACTGCTGACTACGACGACTACTACTACTACCTACTATTACTGTTTCCGGTAGTACACGCGCGACGCGGCGTCATAACGTCTACCACCTGATTTTATTAGCCTAAGAAGTTCACTTGATAAATCTAAACAGAGCTACATTGGGCGCAATGACCGAAGTCTAGGCGTCAGGATCGATGAGCACATCCCTAAATGGTTGCGCAAGCGAATGGGATCTCAGACGGCGGAATCGAGTGAATCCAGAGGCAGGATAGCTTCGGCGATCACGAGACAGCTACTGAACGCTGACCACCAGGTCAACCCAAATGACTCATTCACTGTCCTCATGCGTAACCAGGGGCCGCATGTACCCAAGCTACTTGAAGCCATCGTATTCGACTGCGAGTGGCCGCCTCTGTGCATACAGAAGCAGTTGACGGTAATATTGAGCCTGCCGTGGTAGTGCCGCAGTAACAGTTGGCCATCATCTGACCACCAATCGACCGTATCCGACCTTGCTTGTTTTCAAAGTGTTAGGTATCTTGTACGTGACTGAGGAGATAGGCACGAAATGACCGAGTCATCTCACAACTTACGTCATCTGATATTTCTGTTTAGATATATTGGCATAACTATCGATCAGCTTCACTGACCCCATTTTAAAGTGTGATGTAAACACTATCATCCCAGCTCTAGTTAGTTTCCCTATTTTCTCAATCTTCCTTATGAATGTAAATGGCTGACTGTAATTATCGAAAAGGGATATCTCTTCGCAAGTCTCCTTCTGATGTTTAAAAAGGTATACTACATAAATTCCAGAAGAGTCCGTCGCACCATCAAACCCTATCGGAAAATTATTACAGACATTTATGGATCCAACTGTAAGTGTGTGTGTGTGTGTGTGTGTGTGTGTGCTCTCCGTAAGCTTTACGGAACGTGGGACCGTGATCTTCTTTGAAATATTGGTCGGGGAATGCGGAATTAGATGTGCCCGATAATCATAAACGATGAATATAGATTGGAATTTGCCGTACAGTCGCCTTCCTCATCTCGTCGACATCAGCAACTGCTCATGCTATTCTGCAATACTCAATTACGTGGGTAGCGACAATTGAAGAGATTGTGTGTCTCGGAACTAACTTGGTCTTTTGGACAGTGGAATGAGCCGAAAGAAACGGAAGCTAACTGGATGATAGTTTGACTTTGCCAGTAACCGTAGTTCAATGATATCGATTACTGCGTCGCACGGGGAGTGTTGCCGCGGGTTCACACTCCTCATCGAATGCAGGAGTGTGCAGTGTTCCTGAAAAACGAAACGGTAGGCTGGCGGCATAACAACTGCCTGAGTGTTTCGCTCAATCGAAGCGTTGTAGCCTTAGAAATGATTGGCTATCTAATTGGTCCAGTCAAATGAAATTTTCAATCGACTAGTAAACCAGTCGTTATCACCAACAAATTATCGTACACTGAACATAAGTCAAGTAAATTTCAAAACAACCATTGAAAAGGATAGTGGAACTCTAAAAAGCGCAGTATCCTTACTATCGATAAATAAAACAAAGTTGACGCTGTTTAAGAAGTTGGCCACAAATGAAGGAACAACTATAAGAAAAGTATACATACGCTGAATACGGGACTCCGAGTACAGATGACTCAGACTGTTGGTGGTACGACCTAGGCAAGCAAATGGGTGGCTGACTTACGGGCTTTGGAGTAACTTGTGAATATGTTCAACGCCCCAGAAGGCTGAGCCGTGGTGACACAAAGAGTAACATCGACTCCATGGAGCTTTAGCTGATGAGTTCGACTCCACGGTAGGCGGCGGTGGAGACGGCTCGAGGAGAGTATACTGGCAGAACTGAGCCACAGTGGGTAGCTGTTTCGGAGGAATGAACTGAAACGAGATACAGTGGAGCGTAATTGGTAATATTCTACATGACATCATCTCTCTCGATTAAAATGAAAGGATTGTTCACAGGCTATAGCATAAGTTCATTGCCTTTTGGGCTACTTCAATTGGGTACAACGCATAGCTGCTGATATGTGTGAAATTCTCACCAGCAACGGTTGTGATGCAATTCAGCTGCGCAGATTACTGGTTGAAGCGGCATTTCGTCATTAAATTACGCCGCTCGTCAGCCTAACCCACGAACAAAAGGTGACTAAAGCACGAAACGGGGGTCTCTTTGAGCACTATGGGTCGATATGCGCTTGTCAATTATGCCATTTCGCCTCAGATTGAAGCAAGGGAATGCCACGCCAAGTGTTGGGAATTCATACCCTTGTGGTCGCGGGAAAACAGGCTGTTTAGATATCAGCGAATTAGACTCATAGTCATACGATACATGAATTACATTATTTGCTCAGAAATCGCCTTCAAAGCAAACAAAATGGATGAAGCAACCGTTTTGCATCAAGAAACATGCAACGGCAGCATGGCTTCTAATTCACCGAATTGCACTAACGAGACAGGTTAGCTAAAAAGAGAACATTGGGAAGTGGTAGTGACACTGTGGTTCACACCACGGTGGATCAAGATCATTTGGAACTATTCAGGTAGTTGAAATGAGCACCATCGGCCTGAGTCTGCATTCAAACTAGTCTGCCAGTTCATAGGGATTATGCTAGAAAACAAATCAGTTGAAGACAAGTGATGATTTCCGTGCTATGCGCAAAACAATCTGGACACATAACCCGGCACCGGCTATTCTTTGTAGCGATACGCTAGGAGAGGAAGCCCACCAAACTCTTGACAGTTTCCAAGCCAGGGGGAATTTGGACAAACGGTCTGTCTGAAATGGCCAATAGTAGAAGTGTGTGTGTGTGTGCGTGTGTGTGTGCGTAGACGACCGTGAAATGCCATAGCGTTGTTTCGCCATGATAACTGATCAGATCAGGAGAAAGCTCGAACGCCACGCAGTGTGTGCGCATACACGATTTTTTTGGTTGGGAGACAGAATGTCCTTCAGCTGAAGGGCCATTACACTACGCCGGTACCACACACCGACAGTTCGGTGCTATGCGTACATGCTAAGGACACGGAGAGGTGGCCTGCACCTACGCAAATTCAAACCCACGATCTGCGGAGTACAAGCTAGAGGTATGTGAACCATTCGGTCACCGGTGGGTTCGGTAGCACAAAATGAAAAGTGCGGCACCGTAAGAAGTGTGAGGAAAGTGGTAAAAAGGACCGTATTGCCGGTGCTTGCAATCGTACTGAATGCTGGTAAAAAAAGCTATCCGACATCGATCTGTTCGGGATTCAACTGTGCACGAGCACCAACCATTAAGTCTTTGTGTTTGTCGGCATTTTTGGTCCGATGGATAGTGAGGTCATATTTATCCATCCGACTTTCTCTTTTTGCTCTTCAATATTGTTCTTCTTTTCATCCTCTTTGATTTTACTAATGAGTAGTGGGGATTAGGTATAATTAGAGATAGTTCAGCACGGTCCACTCTCAGTCGGCAGGCTTTGGCAAGTCTGTAAAAGCATCAGACAGTGTTGTTTCGACTTTTTGGGTTTCGTCAGTGGTGCGCCTTTCGGCGGACCCCTGCCGGGTTCTGTAACCAATCATGACTTCTGGACGCAAGCAGCCAGTGCCACTTCGCCATGGGTGACAGCCGCGGACCTGCATGATTTACAATTGCTTATGATAGAGGCCCGGCTCATCTTCCACTGCCACGCCAGGTACGAACTGCGCAGGACAGTAACTAGCCTCACGAGCTAGGACTTTCCGCATAGCGCCTCGGCACGGCACAAGGACTTAGAAGCTATACGAACAGATTTTACATTATTAATGAGTAGTGGGGATTTGGTAGAACTAGAGATAGTTCATCACGGTTCACACTCAATCAGCAGGCTTTGGCAAGTCTGGAAAAGTACCAGACACCGGTGTTTCGACTTTCTGGGTCTCTCAGTGGTGCGCCTTCCATCAGACCCCTTCCGGGGTCCGCCCCAACGACTTCCTGATGCCAGCAGCTAGTGCCAATAAGTTATGGGTGACAGCCGAGGGCCAGAGTGATTGACACTTGACTATGATATAGCCCGGCTAAACTTCCGCTGCCATGCCAGTTAGAAACTGTGAAGAGGATAGCAGTTACCTCCATGATGACTCGGAATTCAGTAGTCCGGCCTATTACATTTGGTGAGCTGATTGTAGACGTTTAGCCGGAGTGGGTTGAAACTTCCAAGGGTTGGTGGTTCGTTAATCCACTGAGAATAATGCAATAACGTACTAACCTTGGTGGGAATGCGGTTTTCCGGGATGCAACCTCGAAACGTATCGGATGACTGATCTTCACATCCATCTGCACAGATGGACCCAAGAGGGGGGAATCCGATGCACAAGTGGACATCATCCCCGCCACGGTTCATAATTCCATCGGCGGTGTGATCAAGCCCAAAACAGTGACCGAGTTCGTGCCACACCGTCCCGAGACCGGTAGCAAAAGCGGCCCAAAAAGTGTGTCTGCGTTGAAGAAAAGAAATGAAGGCATCAGCAGTACGCCGGTACGCCGCCCCCAATATACGTGGACTAAGAATACTGTGAGGGTTGCCCGGTCCCCTACGCAGTTTCGAACCAGCAACTAGGTGGTCGTGGCAACAGGCACGCACGCCGGCCCGTTGCCTGAAATGATAGGAGTATCTCATGAGGGTCACTAGTTACGTAGGCATTCGCTGAAAAGAACGAAGAATGCGCTCAGTAAGAGGTATGCCACAATTTGCGATAACAGCGTCTGTTTTAGAGCTTTCGTGGTATACGAAAAAGGCAGTGTGACTCAGAACAGTGTCAGTGCCAACTACGGGAAGAAATGTTAATAGATATTGACAATCGATGCTGATCGTTTCATGTATCAGGTCCCAGACCAATCTCCACGCAATTTCCACCACCCAAGATCCCCTGCTTTTTTTACCAGTGGCTGTATGCACTAGGAGTTCCGCAATATTTAACCAATCAACTATGAGGATAGTAAACAACCAATAACCTCAGCAAGTTCGAATGCATAGATGAAGATAACCATCGATCACCGGAGGTCTGGTACCAAAATAATTCTGCACATTACCCTTAGTCATCAATTTGATGGTAGAACAGGTGTGCTTTTATGCTGATCACTCAGACTGCTCAGCTAATTTGAATAGATTCGGCGTGCGTCAATGTAGCCAAACGTTAGCTGGTGAAGCAACACAAGTGGGCTTACCGGTACGCCGTGTCATCCATGGTGCCAGTGTAGTCCAACCGTCGCGTATCGCGCAACACAACGTCCAAGTCATCTAAAGCCTCCGGCCATGCGTGCAAAGTACCCGTGCCAACAAGGGCCAAACCACCAGTGCCTTTGAAGGGTAAATGAGGAAACTCAGTGGATGGGATGTTAAATAGCAGCGGTAATCTAGGAAATGAGGAGGCGAATGTACAGATATCTAACGAGGCGCATCGATGCGAACTTGGGCGAAGAAAGTTGCGAGAGTAACCCGGGGAATGAGGATGGCAGTGGCGCACCACTGATAAGCCGCAATAGGGCGAAATGCGTCTGGTGCTTTTCCGCACTAGGCTGTGCTATGGAGCTTGTGAGCAGCTGGGACGAAAACATTACAATTACAACTCATGTAATATAAAATGTAGCCCCTTCTAGTTTCAAATACTATGGAAGTAGCATCTAGTGAAAGCCATGAACTGTAGGTTAACCACTGTCATCTGCAAAGGTAGTAAGCTACGTGGCAGTGGGATAGGTCGGGTTATATCCCAGTTAGCTTGCAAATTATGTTGCCCAGCTGCCGTCCCACATGGCTCAGTGGCTTAAACTGCTGGCTAGTTGGCGTCAGCCTCTAGTGGTCATGGGCTCGAGCCCCAGTAGGGGACCAGGAAAATGCGCACCACTGACGAGCCCAACAGGGCGAAACGCGTCTGGCGCCTTTCCGGATTGTGGCTAAGCTATGTAGCTTGTGAGCTGTTGGGACGAAAACCTTAAAATCTTTTACGAATTGAATCTCACTCTTCGCATCATCAGGCCTGGCGTTAAACTTCAAACAACTGCTGAAGCTAATATTTCTAGCGTTTGCGACTCAAAAGCCCATCAAATTCATCTATTGGATCAGTTCAACAACGCGCATCCGTCGCTAAAATTCACCTGCGAGATCGAAGACAATGGTGCACTAGATTTCCTAGACGTGTTGCTGAGGCGACCAGACGATGGCTGTCTTGAAAGAAGGGTGTTCCGGAAGACAACTTGGGTTGGTCACACTTTCGTAGTTTCATTTCTATGAAATACGAAAGAAACCTAGTGCCTACTCTGTACTATCGAGCCATAAAAATCTGGAGCCCAGGAAAGTTGGATGAAGAGAAGGATTTCATTCAGCGAACGCTAGAAACCAACGGCTATCCGGCTGCTTTCATCAAGACGGATTCTGTTGTCCGCAATCGCTATAAGTGTATGATGACTGTCAGAAAAGGGATGTATTTCTTTCAGTTTCAGAGACATCCCCTTCGAGATGATTTTCAGTAAGGTGCCAACCGCAGTGAATCAAAGCTATCCGGCATCCAGAAACCACATGCTTGCTGAAACAGCCCCTTTCATTATGCGGCGCTTCAAAGAAAGGCTTTCGGTTGAGTCCAACTCCTTTGTTGTAAAAGTATCTTCTATTTTAAAAAGGTAATTAACTATTGCACTTTTGCATCAGAGTACCGAAAATAAATATTTTTAATCACTTTCGATAATACAAATAAGAAAAACACCTATTTTAAGCAATTTTCTATTGGATCAAAAGGTGATATACGTAAATGAGGCGGTTGATACTGTTTAGTTCTAACTGCTGGTATATTTGGTGCGTATTTGGCTATATATTCACGCAAATTAATGCACGTGACGTTTACAAGTAAGCTTTTGTTCTCAACAATAGGAACCATAGAATTAATTCCCTCACTTGATCTTGCTTATCACCAAAAAGCTACTGCAAATAAATATGATCAACACAACACCTCAAATATGCTCCACATTCCCCCCAAGCGCAATGTTTGGGTGCACTTGGTACCGCTTGCTGTTCTACCGATACACAATACATCTTATGGCTCTGATCAAACATGAACAAAATCAGTAGCCTCCTATTTGTTTCAAACAACCCTTCCAAGTCATTCCTGGATGACCTCTTCCCACCACCAACCTGTTACCCACGTCCCGAATAATAATCGCCTGTTTTCTCTCTTCTACCTTGTAAACATTCGCCCGCTCATATATCTGGTCGGCTGACTTATGCTCCAACTATTGTTTACTCAGCTCCATAATCCAACCCGGCGAAAGACTACCTGACTCAAAATAGCAACGGTCGATGAGCGAATTGACAGAGACGCCATCTAACTACGCTGCATTGCAGGTTTGTGTGCGTAGCGAAATTTGTTACCGAAAACTGTCTACTTCACTGACCACTCACTAATGACTGGTCGCTGAATGTCAATCACTAGTGACTAGGTAGTTATTTACAAATTTCTGTGCAGGTGATTTTGTTATAAATTTTATCTGGATACTGAATGATGACACAATCCTGGTACTCTTATCTACCTCCCGTAAAATTCCATTTTACCCCCTTGGGATTAAGTACCCAGAGATTGAGAACCACTGAGCCAGAACATCTTCACGAAGACTCCGGGATTGACGGTTGTTGCATTGAAAACAACGACTGCAACCGTCATACAATAAAATGGACTTTCAGTAACGGCATTCGCATCAAGTTGCCTGGATCTTACAAAACGACAGACGACCTGGACTCAAACCGGGCACATCACAACCAACCATAGACGGCATGTGTTAGTTCAGCAGTGTTGATCAACCTGGAGCACGTACCTCGGCCAACCGGCAGCCTTAAGGATCATAAGTCTACCTTGTAGTCGGACGGTGTGTGTTCGAACCAACGTGGCGACTCGACGACCTTTGTAGTAGCCTTAGCCCAAGTCCGGCTGGTGGTGGTTGCGCGGCAGCGAAACATCGGTACTGCGTACCGGCGTACTGCTGATGCTTTTCTTTCTACCTACCTCAGCTTCGCCATAGCATGCGCCCGTGTGTCGCTCACAGTTCATTAAAAACGCAACGACGAGCCTACCAGCCAACCGTGTTTATCCACAATCCGCGAAGCGGTACAACCAAGTCAAAGCACGATGTCGGATATCGCCGTCAGGCGAGGTGATTGAGCTGAGTGCCAACAGAGTGCATTGCTGGTGTCGGGTGGCACCGGAGTGTACGCAACGATGATGTGCGTTGGCGAGTACTAGGTAGTGATAACCAAGCTAGTTCCTTAGAACAACAGATAGCACTGAATAAGTTGCGTTGACCTGGGCACGTACTACGTATGCCTGGTCACCGCTTACCGAAGAGAGCCTTCTTTACGCTGCCACATGTAGGGTGGCGTAAGGCTCCAGGCAGACAAAAGTTGACTTGGCAGCGTGAAATGAAGTCAATGACGGCCAAACTGGGTGCCGTCGGTCCGTCGCGCCTTCTGGGCTGGAGTCCACATGATCCGCCTTATGTTTGGCTCGAGACTACAGGACATGGCTCGCATCCGACACCAGTAGCGCATCTGCTGTCGTCTCCTAGTCGGATTGCCTGTGTGCTTGGTGCTGAGTTATCTGCGGAGTAACGACCGATTACGACGCGGGGAAGTGAAAACCGCAAGGAAGCTGTCTCGCTGATGCCGTCTCATCTTTGCACGATAGCCAGCTGTCTGACAGTATGTTGTTAATACAAGGTGTAGGCGCCTTGACCTTGAATGCTTGCTTAGGGCACTAAGGTATTCGGGTAAGCCCCGTTCTTCTTATTCCATAGGTCATCATGGTTGTATAGCAGTGTAGCAGTCTGGAGATTCCCCGGTTTGCCTCTGTAAAATTCTAAACAAACTCACTATTTCATTGTACACTTAGGCGACCGGTGCGGAATGTTGAGCTGGTTGCTGAGTGTGTAAAAAGATATATCCTTATAGGCAAAACAGTAAAGCAGTGTGCAAATCATTCACTCGTTTATGAGGCACCTTTTAGAAGCACTTAGGTTTACTAATACTGGACTGGGAACCATCTCGAACGAGGGTTAACTGAACAGTTGTTTCATAAGTAAGATTTAACTTTCCAAAAGTCAGGTCAACTAAACCTGTCCAAACGCAGAGGTCAGCATTGGACAAGACAAAAGCTAAACGCTACGGATGAAAAGGTGAAAGCAAAAGCAAACTTCTAGATGCACTTACCTAAGGCATAATTAGCCTTCGTGTGTATAACCATCTCTTCATAATTTTCAACATTCAGCTTTGAAGGAGGATGATAACGCGTGCAGGCTAAGAAAGCAACCCACTTTGTCTTTTCGAATTGATGTGGATAGACGTCGTGCAATTCACGCGCGATTCTAGACCAAACATTAATGGGCGAACAAGTATACATTTCCTCACGTGTCATGACAGACCGATGAAGATAACAAGATACACGGGATCCAGAACCAGTGTTTCGCGTCGAATCGGTGCAGGTGAAAGTGTATCGTTTTCCAAATTCCAGGTAAAAGCTTTCTGCCGTCAACGACTGTAAGATGCGCAAGCCTAAACCGATCTTCTTGAAAGCGCTATCAATTGTTCCTGGACTGGTACCAACTGGGGTTTGAAATGAACCATCATCATCAGAACAAGTGACGTAGACAGGTTGAACAATAAAGGTCTCATCCGGTGGAGCGGCATATATTAATCTAACATAGGCACAAAAATGGCTACAGGTAAGTCGAACAAGATTTGACCCAGGACGGAGACAAACAAAAACTTTGAAAAGGTGGTTGCATAGGTACCATGGTTTAGGTGACGCGAAAGAGTCGACAGAAACCGATATTTGCGTACACCCACAAAAAGGAGTCAGTGTGCCTTTCAGCTGGAACAAAGGGTACTGTACACAAAGAAGATCGTATGCGTTCCAAAGTTGAAACATGAAAAATCAACCAAAAGTGAGGGTGCGCAAACGATTAACCCTTTGAAATCAATTGTAGGTACAACTGTAAAAGTAAGCGGCCGAGATCATAGACCCATGTACATTGAAGGAAGAGGCATTAGGGTACAAACATATGGGCTAGGCTGGCACAGGCTATGATAAAGAAAAGTGGAAGCGAGCGATACCCCCATCTACCAAGGTTATGTGAACTGACTGATGAGGACTTCGGCTGAATGTATGGCCAAATTGTCACCAAGTGTATTTATACCGTCAGGAGTTTGAAACATTGAATGACCAAAGGACGAAGAATGACAGGACTAACGGCTAATAGTCTTGGAAAAACCAAATAGCGCAAAAGCGCAGTATGTGCGACGAAAAATATGCTTTCAGTTCATGGTCTTGAAGTGAGAGAAATCAAGGGAAGCCTCTACTTAAGAAGCAGACTCAATCCATTGGCATCAGGACATAAGGAAGAACCACAATAATGTTGCTTCCTGAACGACTCGTTGGGACAGTATTAGGTCTAAATCGTTGAGGTCCGGAGGCACCTAGAACGAAGAACACATATCAGGATCTCATCAATGCATTATTATTCACGTTCCCTGCATAAACAGCCTTTGCTGCGCAGGTCACACAAACAAAAGAAACAAAGGAACAAATACAATGGCATTTGATTAAAATAAACTACAGCAACATGGCGTGAGGAAGGTTATAGAAAGGAGTATTGAAGGCAAGGTAAAAAAAGGCATCAGCAGTAAGCCATATCGACACTTGCTGGCCCATGGCTGAAGGGACCACGTGCCTGCTTTTTAATATGGAGGGCACGGGTCCGAACATGCGTAGAAGAATGGGCGACTCTCGCAGTATCCTAAGACCACGCGTGACTGGTGGTGTTGGTCGCGCTGCAGCGAATCGTCGGTACTGCGTGCCGGCGTACTGCCGAGGCCCATCGTACCGACGGTACGCTGCCACGCAACCACCAGGTGTCGCAAGGACCGCCCGGTACCTTACGCAACCTCAAGCCGGTGAAATCAGGATTACGAGGCAAGCGTGTGATCTTTTCGGCCACCGGCTGGCGGCAATAAAGGCTGATTACAGAGGTCGGCAAGGAGAATGGTTACATCCGGTGCTGCCATCCAATTGTGCCAAACTGACACGCAGGTGTGTTAACCACACGTCGTGTAAGTGAACTCTAACAGTAGATGAACTAGTGAGGAGTGAATTTCTGCTCCACTCTGATCAAAAGATGACTTGTGCAGTTTCAAGTGACGATGACGACTTAGCAAGCTGGTTGAAGTAAGCAGTCAAAATTCGCACTTGGTTTTTATACAAGTATTCAGTGGAAAGTAGGCTCACCGAAATCTTCCTGTAGAACAATGAAGACATGTCCAAACTGGTAATCACCCTAGTCAGGATACATATGCCTTCATGGAAGTCTCATAGCCACCTTACTACCAAATAGAAAAACTTTCGTGGTTAGTCCTGGTATAGACAAGGAGTGCCCGAAAGTAAAGGGGACATAGATAGCTTCCTCTAAACTCCAAAGAATCAGTATCGTTAGAAGCTTAATCATCTGGATCTCTGAGTTCTTGGACTACCGCCCCATGCAGCTGAAAGTGAACGAATTGTTCCTGTTCCAATGATCGCTGGCGTCCCACACAGTTCTTGGCCCCTGGCTCTTTAGTTTCTTTATTACCGACTTGGCGTTCAAACTGCAGACGGAGTGTTTGATTTGTGCGGATGACTACAAGTTATGGATGGAGGCATCCAGTCCAGAAGATGTTGACAGATTGGAGGCGACGTTCGATCTGTTGTGAGGAGCAGTTAAGCAGGGCTGCTGTGACAATGCCGCTTGCCGAATCACCTGACCCGACGTGGGAAGTAGATGTCACACCTCCCACTTTGGAAGAGATTTGACACGAGCTCACCATGTTAAAACGAAACAAGGCTTCTGGGCCCGATGATCATTTGCCATCTTTGCTGAAAGATAGCGGTGACTCTTTGTTGACTAGACTTGCTTTCCTTTTTATCCCGATTTGGAACACTGAAGGGGTGACTTCAGACTGGCGACTGTCGTGCCTCTTTTCAAGAAGGATCAGCGTATATTGTGCGAAAATCACTGAAGTACTAGACTTGTTTCCAATGCCTCCAAACTTCTCACGGGTATCAATCCCCAACGAGTTAGTGGTCCCCGTGAGAACCGAATAACAGAGCTAGGCCGGTATCCGCCCTAGTCGTTTGTATCGATCACACATTTATTCTTCGCCGTTTTAGAGCAGACACATACAGACGATCAACTATGGTAGCTTTTCCTGACTTGAAAGCCGCCTTCGACTCCGTTGACCACGCCAGCTTGTTGCACTGCCTATCCATGGAGACAGTGCCGGTTAAATACTGTTCCATTATGCAGTTTCTCTACCGTGACACTCGAGGCCTTGTAAGGGTCTACCGGAAACTCTCTTCTGAGTTCTTCACAACAAGTGAGGTACGCTAGGGTTGTCCCATACCTCCTTTCCTCGTCCACTTTGTTATTAAAGTGATCATAAGTAACTCCGTTCCTACAGACTTTACCGGAGTGGAAGTCCTGCCACATGAACGACTGACAAGCATGGAGTATGTGAACGACATAGTTCTTCTTGGGTCTGGCGCAGTGGCTATGCAAACACTACTGGATAGACTGACGCGCAGCGCTGCGCGCTTCGGTATGTGCTTTGCAACTCCAGTGCGAAGTACAGTTGCAGGACTGGACCGACACACATCGGGTTCTAGCTGTCACCGAACAGCAACTGGAAGTGGTGGATCCGTTAACCTACCTTGGTAGCTGTTGTGATGCCGCTGATTGCACGGCTAACCTGCTGCTACCGTGCAGTTGACCGTTGCCAGAAATTTGTTGTGGTTTCCGCTGACTTTACGGATAACCTGCCTGAATCTGTTGTACCACCCGCGACCAGTTCAACCCGCCACGAAATGAGAACACCAAGACCAGCCGGTTCGAGGGATACAGATTCGGATTCGTATTGTGAGAGCAAGACGCAATAAATAGGTTACAGGCAACTACTAACACAACAATCGTGGCGATGCTAATTAATATTAATTAACACAACTCAAACGTATCAAGTTCATGGTCTAACTTGCCGTTGATTCCGCATAGATTCACGTGTTGTTCTTTACTCAAGTTCGATCTCCAATTGTAAATCGATCCACTCTTGTGGCACGCTTCTCGGCTTATGCGTTGGCTCTCCGTAACACTCGTGCAAAATGGTGCGTGACTTCCGTCATGGGTTCAGGCGCATTCTGATGACGTATCTCCACACCCGATCAGTGCATGCTCGTGGCTGCAAGTTCGTTCCTCTTTGTGGCCAATGGTCAAAGCACATTAGGTCTCTCCTGGGTCTCAAAGTGTGTGCTTCACTGGGTGGAGAAATGTTCATTCTAAGCGATAAACCTCCGGGTCAACCATTGGTGTTGCAAAGCTTTTCCGAAAAACTGTTGTATACCTACCTATCTCGCAGGTGCTCAATGACCACTGTTTTGGGGGCTGTTGGTTTGTGTATCTGGACCGTGGCACAGTTGCAAACCCTTGCATTTCGGTTCGCATGAAGTTTCTCGGTTTAGAAAAAAAGGACCTCTTGGTGCGCTTTGATCACTGCGGAGTGCGGCAATAATCGCAATGGGTGGCTTTTGCTTCGGCACGTTTTGATTCACATTGTGGCCTTCATTGGCTGTGTGGCGGATCTGGAGATCACATCTGGCATTTGAATTGTTAACCTTTTTGGTGCCTAATTCCTAGTTGAGCTGCATGTAACTTTCATCTGCAATGCGCTCTTATGTGAGTTCTGGTTCCAGTTTACCTTCTGCCTGAATGCTCAACTTCTGTGTCAGCAGTTCTGTCAATTTCCGCGGTGATTCCTCAAACATTGACTGCTGAACCTGAAGGAGCGTCTGCATTTGCTCCCAAGCGATGGCTATATACTGTAGTGAGCGTCCGAATGAAAGTTTCGATCATACGCAGCTGTGAGGCCTCGAATTGTTGCTGCTGTTGGAGCAAAATGCCTTTCAGCTCATCAGTTGAGACAGCCACCTTGAATCAGTTTACCTCCGTCGCCAGAAATCTGTTGTGGTGCCGTTGATTGTACGGCTAACCTGCTGCTACCGTGCAGTTGACCGTTGCCAGAAATTTGTTGTGGTTTCCGCTGACTTTACGGATAACCTGCCTGAATCTGCTGTACCACCCGCGACCAGTTCAACCCGCCACGAAATGAGAACACCAAGACCAGCCGGTTCGAGGGATACAGATTCGGATTCGTATTGTGAGAGCAAGACGCAATAAATAGGTCACAGGCAAATACTAACACAACAATATTAAAGATGCTAATTAATATTAATTAACACAACTCAAACGTATCAAGTTCATGGTCTAACTTGCTGTTGATTCCACATAGATTCACGTGTTGTTCTTTACTCGAGTTCGATCTCCAATTGTAGATCGATCCACTCTTGTGGCAGGCTTCTCGGCTTGTGCGCTGGCTCTCCGTAACAGTAGCTGTATCACCTCTGATGGTCACATCACGGAGGAAGTTACCGAGCGTATCATGAAGGCCCTTGTGTCTTTCCAGAGGCACAAGCATCTATGGAGATGGCGGGATATCAGTCTGTCAGCGAAAAGTAGGGTGTAAAACGCCGCGGTATGGCCGATCTTACTGCAAGAGTTAGAGATTTGGCCAGTTCGCGACGTAGACATTAAAGGCTTGGTCGTGTATGCTCACCGGTGCTTGCAGAGTATTGCTCATGTCTGGTGGGAACACCGGGCGAGCAGTGTTAAGGTCCGCCAGTTCGCCTTTGACAAGAATCCTTCTGGTGAGTCACTCGAGTGTTTACTGAATCTTAATCGCTTAAGCTGGCTAGGCCATGTCTTACGTATGTTCGTTGACCGGCTTTCTCGAGGTGCATTATATGCCGTGGCTGAATCAAGCTGGGCGAAACCGCGAGGTGGCCAGTCCATGATGTGGCATAGAGACATGAAAATTGACTGAGATCTGGCCAGGCTGGTGCGTGCCCAGGTTGCCGATCGGGGAACGCCTTCCTTGTGGAGGTAACTGTAAATAAGTGTCGGCTGTTCGTAGGCGAGATGAATAAGCAGTCGCGGACAATCAACGGCAGCATCTTAGGGTGTGGGTGTTCTGGGCTGGTCACCTGGTTCCTCATTAAATACCACAAGAGCTCGTAAGACGTGTCAAAGCCAATGTGAATGGCTACCGGGTCACTGACCATTTACTTCTGGTCACAGAAGTGAGTACTTGACGGAGAGTGGATGAACAACCTCGATGGCCACCGGCTTCTACGAAGGCGCATGACCTACCCGGCTGTCAACGGCCTTCGTGCTTCGCGGCGAGTTCGGTAGTCCAGGAAATCCTGGCCTCCTTGCTGCTTCACTGGGGCTCTTTGGGCGCCCTGAGTAGTTTGTCTCTACTCGAAAGCCGTTTTATCCTTGCCTAGATAGCAGGCTCCCAACGGTCGCGGTATAAGTCAATCGCGCCGCTGCCTTGCGGGTTAGTTCTTTTACGACCCAAGGCTCCGAGTGAGGTCCCGCAAGTCAACCCTCTTCCTTGGCCTGAGTAACCGGGAAGCACCATGCCCACACAACTTATGGATCCATGTCTCAATAACTCTTCGCTCGCTCGCTCTTTCCGCTCTCACTCTATCTGCTCTCATTCTCTCAAACTGCTCTCCTCCGTTGAGCTGCTGGCGGTTGAATCTGCCAAACCACATTTTGCTGCACCACCGTTTAAGCATTTGTTTCCACGTTTGTTCAACCCCATTCTTGGTCTTCCCCTCCGTTCTCGAGTTCACAACACCGTGCAACCTTGGGAGAATGCTCGCGCCCTACGGATCAGGAGCCTAGATCCGAGGGTGCGCCAAGTCGTGTTGACAAGTCATTTCTAGCGCACCGTTCCCAATTCAAGCTGGCAACCTTCAATGTTCGGACGCTGATGCAGATTGGATCACAGGCAGGCCTTGTTCGCACTCTAAAAATTACGGCCATTGATGTCTGCTGTCTCAGCGAGACCCGCTAACAGGACTCCAGCACGACGCCGCAACTAGTTCCACCGTTTGCGAATTCCACTGGCATTTTCACTGTGCCTATCTGGAGACTCAACCGCCGAAACAAATGGCTATGTTGGCGTGAGAATTTCGTTGAGCACACGTGCTGACGCCGCGCTACTAAAGTGGATCCCTATAAACAGTCGACAATGCGCGATCCGACTTGAAACCACAGTGCGACTGTCCAGTCGAGAAGCAAATAGAAGCTGTCTATTCATTGTCGCAGCGTACACTCCCACAGACTGCAGCCCGGAGTCAGTTAAAGACGTGTTCTATGGTCAAATGGCCGACCTCCGTAAAAGCGTCGTACCGACAACGTTGTGCTCGCCGCGGACTTGAACATGCAGGTCGGTAGACTTGAAGTTGACGAACGTGAACTCGGTGGTTGACACGGTCATGGCACTCGCAGAACTAATAACGGTGATGGACTACTTCAGTTTTGCGCCGATCACGGTCACTTTCTGTCGAGCACTAGCTTTCAGGGATCCTAGCGTCATTGCACCTGGCCAGCTGTGGACAGAAATCGACCACATCGCTATTAGCTATCACGGGCGTGGCTGCATACAGGATAACAAATCAATCTGGAGTACCTATCTTACTTCGGATCACGCGCTGGTGTGTGCCAAGCGCACGCTAAATTTTGGTGGCTTCTAGCAGCGTCCCCAGAAACGGCTTGATGTAGCTAAGCTTTCTGCCCCGAACGTTCTCTGCGCGTTTCAGGGTACCTTGGCCTCATGGCTGAAGACTGCCTCATGCACAGACATTGAAACACACTGAACACACATCTGCGGCGTCATATGCAACTATGCAACCTTGGTCTGTGGCTACACCAGTGGTCCTGTCAACCACTGGATCTCTGCACCTTCCCTCCAACTTCTCAAAGTCCGTCGAACAATTCCTGCTAGCGTTAAATGCCACTCACTACGTAAGACTACTAACGCTGAGCTCAAACAGCTTCTCTGGGAACATCGCAGCAGGTCATTGAGATGGAGGAAACAGTCATCTCGGGGGATATCCGTAAGCGTTTCCTCCTGATCTGATATACTGTCGGCAAAAAGCCGACTAAGTGAAGTTTTGTGCGAAACCGACGACGAACAGAGCACTTCGCTCTATTTATGGGAATCAACCATAAGGTAGACCATTCCCAGAGCCTATCCAAGGCACGCTGAATTGCCTCAGGATCCCCCGGGATATCCACAATATTTTGGAGCTTAAGGTCGTCAGCAAACATTAGTGACGACACCCCTAGCTCTTCCGGCTGACCACCTGAAAAACCAACAGACGGAGGCCTTGCTCATCAGCCGCCCGTCTAGTTTTGAGATCTTTGAGATAGCCTTCTTTAACTTCAATCCACCTGCCAGTGGAAGGTCCGGCTGAACGCTGACACGACTACCCTTAAGTTTGAATTCAAACCGCAGTAATAACTTGCATTCCTCCAGGGTAGAAAGGACCACGCGAAGTAGTCGGGGTCGTGGATTTAGCGTAGCGATAGGGACGTTTCCGAATCTGGTGTTTCCTGACAGTGACACCAGGTAATCCAGGTAGAAGCAGCTTGCTGACATAGTTTGAGCCACTTGATGTTATCCAAGATGCATTCCGTTGGGACAGCGGCCAGATTCAGTAACGTTACGGAATATAAAGCTACTATCCGTGAATGTGTCGGCACGACGAGAAGTGTTTACCCCACGTGCCTTGAATTCGACGCTTATACCAGCTGTTTTCACCACTGGTGGTGGGACTGTCCCTGTCTCCACAAAGGACGTCGAAGCAACGGTAGCGTAGATTTACCGCTCTATTGCTGGCGTCTTAGTAGTTCCTGGGTCTTCAAGCCCTTCGAAGTTCTTTTGTCTCACTAAAGCAAGAGCCGTTGACCTTGTATGGCATTGAGCAGTTACCAACACTTCGTCAGAACGGGCTGGTTCAGTGGCAGCCGAGAAGTTCAGCATCTTCAGAATGCTCTCCTGTGCACTACCATCAGATGACTTTGTGACTGTCAAAGACGGCATCTTTACCGATGCCGTGGCAACTAATTCTCTGGGTTTAGCAGAGGGATTCTGGTATTCCCGCACCCTATTTTTCTTTACTTTGACCGGCTCAAGATGAGAATCATCAATGCTACATAGGTTGTCCAGTAGGATGTGCGACTTCTTGACCGAGTGACAGACCCCAGCGAATGTATTGTTAGCAATGTTGCCGTCTATTGCAGAGTCGTCAATCGCAATATTCATGGATTTCAAAATCAAATCCGTTTTCGAACCGAGCGACGCAATTGAGGCGAGTCTCTCTATCGCCTTCTCATCATCTGCCAACCTTGAAGCCGGCACTGAAAGTTTAGCCCCGGTGATAGCCGGGCGCATCGGTCTCTGAGCGCAGCATCCAGCACAGCTGGAAAGGAAGTGGACGCTGAATGATAGCATTTTGTACTGATTTGCTTGTAGGCCGGTACAGGTTACGTGATACCAGCGGCAGCAGACGTCACACTGCATACCGCCAGATAAATCTGTTACTGGCTCTGAACAGTTAAACTGTCCGCAAGCTGCACTAGACTCATCAAACGAGGACCCCAGAGGTCCATCCGCCTCGGTGTTTAGCGAGACAGCCATGTTCATGTGGAAAACAGCAAAATTATGACACGTATACAACAGCAAAACGACCGCAACAAATGGCAAAAACAGGGTGCAAAACAAGATTAAAACTGGAAACAACCGGAAAAATTACCAGTAAGCGTCAAAGACGCTTTGGCCACTACCACTTTAATCGATCCAAGATATCTTGGATTAGAGAAACTTTGACAATAGTCAAATTTCGTTTCAAGTGTCTCTTCAAACACTATTTTCCACCTTATTTCAGCTAAAAAGCTAGATAAGTATGGCACCGGAGCGTCGAATCTGCCACGTGGAAAGTTCAAGTTCAGGTTCAAGTGGGACTGGAACGATAGGATGAATCCCGTAAGTATTCCTTTTTGAGCAGGTCGTCGATCCAGGAGTTGATAGAAGTGCTCCGACTTCTTGATGGGTCTAAAAGGAAAACACCCGAAAAATACCTTGGTCCACAAATTTAATGCCCACGTTCCTTACATTAGCTGTCCCAGCTGTCAGTTACGTGAAGTAAGAGAGGAAGAAAAAGCAAAGGTAAGAGAGTAGGGGAAATCAATTAAAAGAAGAGAATAATACCAATGGCGAGGAAAAGTAAAGAAAATAGAACCGAAGTATGAAGATGGAAATTAGTCAGGAAAAAGGAAAGGTTTCATGTTGCCACCCAAGAGCGTCTAGTTGACGCTCAAACCCCTTAACCGTAGCTTCCTTGACGGCATGTTCTGGAAGCAGGTTCTAGCGCTCAATGACTCGACGTGATAACCGTGTCTCCGCTCTAACCCGATCGGACCGCGGTTTGTCCAGCTTCATACAATACCCGCGAAGACCAGATAATCTAGCAGGACTAAATAGCATGGATAAATCAGGGCCAAGCTTCCCAGTCAAAATACGATAGGTTAGGATTAGGTCCCCTCTAATCCTTCGATAGTGTATTGACTGCATCCCCAAACTAGATAGGCCTTCGGGGTACGTTTGCCCTCGTAATCTCTTGACCAACCTAGTACCGACACGCAACACTCTTTCTAGTGCTATTTTGTTCCGGACAAGGCATGGTGGACAGGCCTGGACGCAATATTCTAGACGGGGTCGTACAAACGCTGAGAAAAGCTTCACAAACACATCAGCGGTTAGGGTCCCAAAAGAACGACAGATAAATCACAACATCCGGAACCCTTTACTAGCCGCCTTCTTCCAGTTGTCGCCAGAGTGTAGTGTGGAACAGTGGACGACACCTAGATCAACCTGATGAGTCACGTGAGGAAGTTCACTCCCATCGAGCACATAACTTGTGGAGGAAGCAGACGCTCCGATACGCAGCAATGAACACTTTGCCCGGTTTATGGGCAGCAAGCACAAGAAAGACCATTCCCAGAGTCTATCCAGAGCCCTTTGAAGAGCCACAGGACCTCCAGGGATATCAACAATATTCCAGAGCTTTAGGTCATCAGCAAATAAGAGCGATGGTACCTCAAGCTCCTCCGGCAAGTCATTCACATAGACAGAAAAAAGCAGCGGACCTAGGACAGAGCCTTGCGGAACGCCGCTAAGTACAGCTTGTCGAAACGAATGACTACTTCCCACACGAATACACTGTTCCCGTCCATCCAGAAAAGCTGACACACACTGGTGAGCGCGACCAGCTATTCCATACGACCTCAACTTCAGTGAGAGTCGCGAATGGGGGACAGTGTCAAAGGCCTTGGCGAAGTCAATGAATACAGCATCCACCGCATGTCCACTGTCTACGGCTTCAGCCCAGCCCTCACGAGCTACCAGCAAGTTCGTCTGACACGAAAATCCTTTGCGAAAACCATGTTGTTCGACGCAAAACAGGTTAAACCTATTTAAATGGTTCTCCACTGTATCTCGTACTAATTTTTCAAGTAACTTAACGACCACGTTAGTCAAGCTGACAGGCCTGTAATCAGCCGGTAGGTCTTTGTCACCGCACTTGAAAATCGGGCAGACAACAGCCTCCTTCCATTCGGTAGGCAAGATACAGCTGTTGCGTGACTTCTGAAACACACAAGTCAGAGGTCCACTGAGTTCCACTGCCAATTCATGCAACAATTTTGGATGAACGGAATCTGGCCCGGAAGCCTTAGTTGGGTTTACCTCTCTTAGCAACCGGAGAACTTGGGACTCAGTTACAGGAATTTCATCCAGACAACAGTCCTCAGAGACACTTGAAGATAACTCTTTGCATGGCGTATTTGTTTCGCGGACAAAGACGCTTGAGTACTGCTTACCAAGCACGCATGCCTTGTCATAGTTGCTATAGGCATGGATCCCATCTCGAAACAATGGTGGTATGGGCGAGTTTGCACCACAGCGTCGTTTAACGTAAGCGAAGAATTTCTTGGGATTTCTCGAGGCAGCATTAGCTAAATCCTTTTCATACTGAAGCCGAGCAGTGTGACTTCGGTACACACGGTTATAGGTGGTAGAAGGTAAATTTGGGGCCATTGAACGCATGATAATGTTTATTAATAATTTAGGATGCTTGTTGAGATGCTAAGACATCAATTAGTAATCAATATACTACGGGGTTTAAATGCATTACGATGGTTAAGCATTATCGCGCTTCACGCGTAGCAGCCATGGTGGATGACTCGCTTGTATTCCGACGTATACTTAAGGGTCCTTATCTGGACTTCGCATCGGTGAAAGAAGATCTGAAAGTGTTTCAGATTGAAACGACAACATCGTTTATTCATCGGAACGTTATAACTGCGAAGGCGTACCAGAGGGAGACCGGACAGGTGCTACCGGAAGGATGCCTGTACCGGTATATTCTGTTTGTATGTGTGCATCGGAAGCACAGCAATGTTGGCGGAAGGTGGTAAGTGCCTGGTATCTGCCTGATGAGAAGATTACTATAGATACCGCTGTTACAATTGCCCTGCTCGCTTTTCTGTGAAGTTTAAGGGCGAATGTTACGAGATTGGGAATGCGTTCCTGTGGCATTCGCACAGTTTTCACGTTGAGAAGCCCTGGCTGTATGTGAGAAATCGGAGGCTAACAGGAGATCAGGAACGCATGGTGCTGAACTTAATGAAAACGTTTCGTCGGATCCAGGAGATGCGTGCATTTGTGTGGCAGCAATATAACGTTCGTTTAACGAGGCGGGGTTTGTATGACATACGGCGGCGTCATCGTAACGCTTGTGTCATCGAGGTGGAGTAGGTAACACAGATGTTGCAAAGAAATGGTCAGGTTAAAATTATGTATGAGGGGAATGAGATTCGGTACCTGTTTTTCGTCCCTTCGCGCATGCTGGATTCGGTGGGCCAATACGGGGAGGCAATTTTGGCGGACTCGACATATCAGATCAATTACGGCGGCTACATCCTATGGCATTGCATGTTTGTGGACGTTAGCGGCCTCGGTTTTTTTGCGCTGTTGCCAAATGAGACGGAGGCTGCTTACGAAGAGGCAGTAAGAGGTATGTTGGAATTGGCCCCCGCGGTTGCCGGTGCTCGGACTTTGGTGGTGGACAAGTGCACCGCTCAAGTGAATGCGTTTCGGAATGCGTACCCCACTGCGAACATCGTATTCTGCCGGGTGCACATAATGCGGGACATGCAGCGGCGTTGTTCACATCTTCCGTTCTGTAACACGGAAGATAAGAGGGCTCTGTTCAACATGCTGCGGTCGTTGTTGTACACGTACGATTGCGTGCATTATCATCGGATTATGGAAGGCATATCCCTGCGCAGCGCTGAATGCTTCCAATACCTCCGTCGTACGTGGATCCCATGGCGGCTTAACTAGGCAGCCCATTTGATGGGCCAGGTGGTATTATTCGGATGTAACAGCACGAATCGTGTGGAGAATGAAAATAAGCATCTGAAAGAAACTTTGAGCGAGCGGTCAACCCTACTTCACCTGTTTCAGGTGATAGTGCAGCGTGCTAGTGGCATCACTGAAGAGAGGGGAACAGTGCTTGCGAGAGATCAGCTTCGTATATGCGAGGTTGAGCAGGGTGTCAGCAGTGGGGACGTCATATTGAGCAGGATGTGGTCCTACGTCCGGCGGCAGTACGCGTGGCACAGTGTTCGAGTTCGCATTTGCAGTGTTAACGAAGACGGTGGGTATTGGCTAGTGGACAACGAGCGTGTTGGCATGCAACGTGTCGTCATCGAAAATGGCAGTGCATGCGGATGTAGATTTAATCGGCAGTGGCGCATTTCTTGTGCGCACATTATTCACGTGGCAAGCCTACACGCCTACGACGAGGAGGATGTGCTTCGTGGTTGCCGTTGGATGCTGCCAGCGGTAAGTATATCTGCGCCGGTCCTTTCGGAGGACAGGGAAGGAACGATGACGGTGGCGCGGGTGCGATGCCCCAGTGATGGAGTCCTTGACCGGCCCGCCAAAATTCGCATCACTCGGGATATGTTCGCTGGTCTGGAAGCGCAGATCCTGAGTATGAGCACGGAGAAGTTTCAGCGCACAATGGGCGTATTTGCATGCATGCGTGAGCTGCTCGCTACTCATAGTAATATGCAGCTGCACGCGAGATCATCCAAGTTGGAACAATTACATCGGTTATCCTTGGAAGACCTGCCTAGCTTCCGAGGATTGCAGGCGTCATCCTCTGGTGCGGCTAACCAGGTGAAGGCAGGCAATGGTACGCGTACCGGCAGGAATTCCCCGAAAACTGACGTTAGCGAAGCGATCCCCTTGGTGGCGCCAGGGGCTGGTGTTTCGCAGGTACCTTGCAACGACCGCAGGCGCAGGAAACGGAAGTCACCATTGTTAGCCCGTGCGGTAGAGGTGGTGGATTCCAGCATGATCTCACGGGATTTGAAATTCCGTACCCTGAAAAGGAGAACATCCGCGCGTTACCGCACATATACATGGCGTGCAAAGAGGGGCACTGCTGCCGAAGAAGCGGACAGCGCCGTTTGTGCTTTGTGTGAGCAAGAAGAGGACGCCTGTGGGAGCTCGAAGCATGTCGATTGGATAAGTTGCGATGTATGCTGTAGATGGTTACATCAAACTTGCGCAGCATACTATGGGGAGCCGGCATACACATGTAGGCACTGCTGCGGGTAAGTTCCGTTTCACGTATGTAACACCGCTTTTCTTTAGGGATGCAAAAGAGCACAATATCAATGTTGCGTAATGAAGTTCTCCAAATGGGAAACGCTTACCATCGGTAAGTGCGCACGGCATTGCTTTTCTTCCGGAACTCCATACTTCCTTGCCTATTTAGTGACCATTGTAACTGGGACATCCGTATTATTCATAGTTGGTTGTCGCTTCCAATTACACCGCTGCGCCGTGTAATTGCAATCCCTTACATGGGGAACAGTGCGTTGCTGGACCAATGAAAGGCCCAGCAATGTTATAGCCGGTGAGAGTGGTTTGTTAGCGCTATATTCACGGGGCTTTCTCGTCATGTTACCTGAATGCACG